AAATAATCATATATTAGATTTAGTTATATATATCTAATGCCCCCTGTAATGCTGTACATATCCATTAGTCTCTGAAGATTTCCACCATCCGTCTTTAAATATTGATATGAATTTGAAAGTCCCTAAGCCTCGTAATTTTCCAGTACCTAAATGTGAAGGATAAGGTATACAATTTTGAGAAGGCAAACTTTACGGCGACACTTATTATCCCTCTTTAATATCTTGATTCCTCGATTAAATATCTACATACAAATATACTTACTTGTTAAATCTCCCATGTTTAGTATGGCTTTTCATTTCAATTCTATAGCGCACCTATGTGATATAAACACATCATTACTCCGTGAAATTAGTTGCGCACTTAAATCGATCTATGTAGCGGTATTTATTATAAGATATGAAGTCTCAGTGTATTTCGCATTATTATTTAGTGTATGATATTATATTTATTTTGTCTATTTATTTAAATGCAAATTGTTCTGTAATTGGATTGAATCTGTAAGGCAATAAAGATTATTTTTTTTATTTATTTCATGTACATTATTGTTTTGCAATTTGTTTCACGATTAGATTTTTTTTCAATTTGGTTTAAAAGTTTTATTTTAATCACAATTGTATTTATATAATAACAAATAACAATGGAATTTTTTTAATAGTGGTGTCATGTATAACACAACAAGTTGAGAGATTCAATTTTATAATCTGTATAACTCACGATTTGACCTTAGGAATAAATATTTTTAAAAGTCATACAAATTAATTTGCGTGTTATATACTTCTGCTTGATTACGAAATGCATTACTGGAAGTAGCTGTTGATGTTTCAAGACAATAACATACTTTATTCTTCATGAAAAGCTACTTTTTTAGAACTAGTACTTTTTCTATAATTAACAGTTAAGAACTGAAACTTCATTTTAATTAAATACGAGTTAATTACATTTTATACATTCTTTCTAGTAATTCCGAAATTCAGTGGCGTAACTACCGGTGTTCCACGTGTTCGGCGGAACACGGGCCCGCTGCTTCAAGGGGCCCGGTCCGGTCACACGAACATTTTTTTATTAGATTTTTTTTATATTATTGCCCAAATTACATCCTGAAATAAAAAATTCGAAAATGTGCGGTAATCCCAGGATCGATGGTCGATTGCTATTTACGAATTTTTTGCTGCAAAGGGCGGCATCTCAATATCATAGACTCAATAAACTCGGGTTTTAGCGACCGGCACCGGCGGTCGAAAATGCAGCAGCATCTGTTTGTAATAAACCTGTCGCAGTATCGCAATCCCATTGTAGCAAATCTAACACCCCGTGTAGTAAATTACCAATCTTTATCCGACAAAAGTATGACTAATTTATGATGCAAGACAACAAAATACTTAAATTTTGTCCTCAGTTCTACAGTGAAACTTCATGCTGTAATAAAACGTGAAAAAAAAATCAGTTTCAGTTGTGTTTTATGAAAATTTTCGTATTTTCAAAACTATTTTAATTTTGTACTTGTGGTGCTTTTTTGGAATAATAAAATATATCTGACGTATGTTAAAACTCATTTTTTAAGTAGAAAAAAAACTGGACTGGGAAATTATTACAGAATGACCTACCTGTACTAGTGTCACTGAAATTATCACAGCATGTTTCACTTTTCTTATAATACCTCTTTCGGTGGTTTCAGCGGAAAGATCTTTTTCGAAATTAAAAATGACTAAACATTTTTTAAGAAACAATGAGCCAATGCAGATTACCTTCATTAAATCTCTCAAATGGAAATCAAATTGCTAGAAGCTTAGATGTGTCAAATTTTGTATCAACTTGTGCCCATTGAAAAGCAAGAAGAAAACAATTTTGAAATTAAAAAAAATGGGCATTTTATCTATACTTCTATACTTCTATACTTACTTATATTATAAAGTTGAAGAGTTTGTTTGGTTGAACGCGCCAATCTCAGAAACTACTGGTTTGAATTCAAAAAATCTTTTTGTGTTGGAAAGTCCGTTTATCGAGGAAGGTTATAGGCTATATAACATCACCCTATGATTAATAGGAGCGGAGCAGCAATGAAAAATATCGGAAAAACGGGAAAATTATTCGTCCTTTGACAGCTTCCGTTGCTTACGCTGCTTATTAAACGGTTAAAGTTACATAAAAATCATGTATGATGGAATTGTTCCCTTCTAAAAGTTCTAAAAAAAAGTCCGCGACAGCATACGTCAATCTTTTAAGGTCGACTCAGTATAACCTTTTTTATGGTAATCAATTTTTTTCTAAAATAATCTAATATAAAATTCTGGTGTCACAGTGTTTGTAACCAATCTCCTCCGAAACGCCTTGACCGATTTTTATGAAATTTTTTGTGTATATTCGGTAGGTCTAGTAAACTATTTTTTAAACCCCTAAGTGATAAGGGTGACCCACCAAACTTTTTTTATTTTTTAGACAACATTTTTTATTTTTATTTTTTTTAAGATTTGGCGTCAAAAAATACATATAACCCTAAATTTTGACCCTTCTACCACCAACCCCCATTTTTTAATAACGATATGAGTATCTTTGCTTTCGTCCACAGATGCGCAATAGGGTTGCAGGTTGCAAGATGGCTGTTGAATATAATCATTGTCGTACGATAAATTTTTATGTATGTATTTATTTTAATTTAATTTTTTATTTAACTATGTACCAAAATATTCATTAGAAATGCCAAAACAACGTTTGCCGGGTCGGCTAGTTTCTAATATTGTATATATTTTAATTATATGTCTTCAGGTAATTATTGTATTTTATTTTTTTAATTCAATGTTTCAGGTAGAATGATTTTAATAAAACGTTAGCGCAAATTGTAATCTACTCATTCTTTACTCATTATACTCGTATTTTTAAATATTTTTATTTCGCTGTTCATTAGGGGCCCCACAGTGTTGTGGAACACAGGCCCGCAGTTTGATTGTTACGCCACTGAGTGGTCGTTCAGGTGCGGGTTTGCAAAATAGTTCAGTTTACCACGGTATTGGATTGATTTTCTTAAAACCGTTTGTTTCTTCAATGGAAATTTTAGTTTGTTAGGTAATCCTTTTCTCCACAACCATTAGTGAATTCAATAATTCCAAAATCATTTTTAATAATAGAAAATAAAAATTCTCACTGTTGAAGTAGAATATTTATTCTGAAACACTTGCTTCTTAGTATTTTCATTCTACAATTATTCAGTGACAGAATATTCGTTCTATAATTATGTTCAACGAAATACATAGGTACGTAGATTGCCATGAATTTCAAAACGGTCACTGTCAGATTAAGTGCGGCGTCCTACTTGTTTCGAGAGCAAATTTTAATTTAATTGTTAAAAATGAGTGAACAATCGAGTGAATCAGACGTGGAATTTGATAATATTCCACCTGAAATTATAAATTATGTAAATAATATAATCCAGAACCTTCTGTCACAAAAATGGAGAAATGAATAAAAAAAGTATGATGCACTCTTTAGAAACTGGCAACAAGAAAAGAAAACTGATTCCTTTTGCGAAAATGTTTTAATTACATTTTTTGGTGGTTTGTCAAAAAAATGGAAATCATCCACTCTCTGGAAATATATTCAATACTAATGCAGCGATAATTGTGAAACACGATATCGATCTTTCAAGGTACAAAAAATTAAAATCTTTCTTAAAACGCTCTTGTGATAACTATGTAATAATAATAATAATAATAATAATAATAATACTTTATTTGTCCAACAGAGCAATAGTTCCATTTACAGGACAAATAATTCCCAAACTTAAAATATAATTAACATTTAACTAGATAACTAACTAACACCATATTCGTAAGTACTTAATAATAAAATTAATCAAATTGAATGCAACTAAACATAAATTTCATTCACAGTTTGTAACAGTTTCCTTAATGTACAAAAAAATATATCACAAGCTGCATCTCTATCGATTCGATTCAGGTATGTGCAGATAATATACAATGGAGCTTTTCTTCCGATGTTGGTCCTCGGTGTATTACAATATAGCGTTGTAGCATATCGGCTATTTATTCTGGGTACAAAGAAAAATAGTTTGCTGAGTAGATCACTACAATCAATAATATTATTTAAAATTTTGTATAGAAAAACAAGTGCGCTACCAATACGTCTACAATACAGTGATTTAAACTGGAATCTTTCAAGTAAATATCCGTTCGAACAGTTCCTCACTGGCCATCTTCTCTCATCCTTATAAAACAAATATTTTAAAAACCTACGCTGAACATTTTCAAGCACTGTTATTTGGTAGTTATAGTAAGGAAACCATGCCAACGAACAATACTCCAATCTAGTTCTAACCAGCGAATAATACAGAGTTTTTAAAATAGAAATATTACTGAATTCTTTACAATTCCTAATAATAAACCCGAGCATCTTACCTGCTTTACTTGTTATGTTATTTATTTGCTCACGAAAGGAAAATTGCGAATCATAACAGACTCCTAGGTCCTTTACAGTCAACATTCTTTGCATAATCATGCCATCAATACCGTAATCATATCGAAAGGGTTGATAACATAAGCTGTACGTAACCACTTTACATTTTTCCTTATTTAAGGGTAAACCATTTAACGAACACCAGGATTGTATTTTGTCAATATCATTCTGCAACAACTGACAATCTTCAACACAATTAATTTTAAGATATAATTTTACATCATCAGCGAAAATAAGTATTTTGGAATTCTCAATCACATCAACAACATCGTTAATGTAGATCAGAAAGAACAAAGGCCCTAAGGTAGAGCCTTGTGGAACTCCAGATGTAGCCGTGTAACAGTCCGATTTAAAACCATTATATAGCACAAAATTTCTACGCCCAGATAAATAAGACGAAAAAAATTTAACCATCAAATCTGAGAAGCCTAGAGCTGATAATTTTCCTAACAGAATCCTATGATTAATTTTATCGAAAGCTTTTGAAATATCTGTGTATATTACATCAAGTTGTTTTTTTTCATCAAGTGTGTCAGCAATAGCCTGAGACATGCACGTTAGGTTGGTTAGTGTTGATCTTCCAGCAGTAAAACCATGCTGATATGTAGAAATGATATCTTTGATGTTAAAATACATTTGTTTATGCAATATATTTTCAAAAACCTTGGAAAAATTACATAAAATGGACACAGGACGATAGTTTCGAACATCCGCAAAATCACCAGATTTGAAAACTGGAGTTACTCTGGCATCCTTCCATATATCAGGAAAGCTGGCATTTTTAACACAGAGATTGAACAGATAACACAATGGTTTCAAGAGTGTAGTTGAACAGTCCTTTATAAAAAAAGAGGGTATCTGATCAACTCCAGAAACAGAGCTATTTTTCAGCTTATTAATCGCTTGATGAACATTATCCTCAGTAATTTGAATACTAAAACATAGATTCTTAATTTTGTTAATGTAATTCATGCCAAGAGGTGCTAGGTCATCAGCAGTCGAATTAAATGAAGAACAAAATAGTTTCGCAAACGCATCAACAATATCCTTCGGTTGATCATAACAGCAATCATCTAAGTACACTTTGTTAGGTATAGACGTACGACCTTTCTTCTCCTTTACAAAGGACCAAAAAAATTTTGGATCTGACAGAAGAGAACTTTGCACTCTGTTGATATAATCTTTGAAGTCTCTGCAAATGAGAGTTTTAACCGTTCTACGAACAGAAGAAAATTCATGATACCAACTGTCACAATGACTGCGTTTGTACTTCCTAAATAATTTTCGTTTTAGTTTGAGCATTCCTCTAAGTTCTTCAGAATACCAATTTGGATACTTATATTTTTTACTCTTCACCAACGGAACATGTCTATCTAATATGGAATACAACTGCTCGTAGAAATATCCGCATGCATCATTAGCTTCCCTAATCTGATATAGTGAATTCCAATTAAGATTTAACATATCAATATACAATAAGGAAAAATTCGCTCTCTTAAAATTGTAAATTTTTGACTCCGAACTTATTGGAAAATTAACATAAGATTGATGTTTCAGACCAATATTAATATTTAGTGCAGGATGATATCTATCTTCCGCCACCAGAGGACAAGTATCATGTGCTACAGCACACTCCCCTAAGCTAGTAAAAATTAAATCAAGAAAATGTTCGTCACTATTAGGTACACTATTAAATTGCGTCAAGTTCAATAACGCAGACATTTGAAGAAGTCCATTGGATTTCCTATCTATGGCATTACTGCAAAAACTAACTGCATTAAAATCCCCAATTAAAACTACGTTCGTATACTCCAGAGAAAAATTACCAAATGTTTCAAAAAATGACTCAAAATCTTCTATAGGAATAGCTGGGGGAACATAGACCACAAAAATGTAAACATGATCACCTTGATTACTTAACTTGCAACCAACGATATCTATTAAACAATACTTATCAAATTCAGACAAATCCAGACTTTTAACCTTAAATATATTATTAACAGCCAGAAGTACTCCCCCGCCTCTCTTACGCCCAGTCCTCTGAAAATCCCTGTCAGCACGAAAAACATTATAATTGGCCGGAAAACACTCACAATTATTAATGGACGGGTCAAGCCAAGTCTCAGTTATACAAATTACGTCAAACTCAGCACTAGTAACACCAGCATATATATCATTTACCTTAGATCTCATGCTACAAACATTTTGATAATATATGTATAAATTATTAATATTGTTAGACTCTAATTGCTATGTCATAAGCAAATCTCGTTTCAGTTTTTCTAAGGCTTTTAAGTATGTAGGACACCTAGTATCCCACGCTGCATGACCAGTATCTAAGGTTGTTTTATCTTTCTCCGCCGATTTGACACAGTTAATGCACTTTAAGTTAGCAGCAGTACAGTTTTTCACATTATGATCTCCAGAACATCTAGGACAACAAATTTTCTGAGTGCAAACGTAAGAAGAATGACCTAAACTGTTGCAATTAAAGCACCGATTAAGTTCAACAGCATCGAATGTATAACAATAATCATAGCCTACAAATAGACCACCAGAAGAAATTAAACGATCATAAGATATTTTGTCCACTTGTAAAATTGCCTGATAAACATCAGGTTTCTTCTTAGTGGGCCAAAATTTAAGAACTTTACAGACCGAATTTGGATCAAATATATCTGAATTAATTCTAATAACATGATCGAGAATTTCCTCTAAATCCTCCGAAGAGTATTTTTCAGTAATACCAACAATCTTAACCCTTGGATAAATACCTTTAACTTCCTTAATTATGTATGAATCTGCCAATTTCTCCTGAGCAATTTTCTTAAACCGCGAGTTATCTTCAGTCGATGAACACCCAACTAAAATTCCACCACGTTTGACAGTTTTTACCTGCGAAATATGAATACCTGATTCTGATGGTTTAATAGTGGAAGCAATATGCGATTTAGTTTGCTGAGAATTTTGTTCAACATTTTTCGGTTCAATAATTACTGCTGGCTTACTTTTATTCTTTATAATATCAGCATATTTAACTGGAGCACTGGCATCAGCATTTCCAACAGAACGTTTCGTAAAGTCATTTAAAAGATCCGTTTTTAGAACAGCAAAAGTATCTTTTAAACTACCTACCAAGTCATTAAATTTTTCCTGTAGAAAAGTATTAAGATTTTCCGAGTCCACACAAAAACATGTAGCTAAGAAATCGAAGATTTTTACAGAAGAAAATATCAACCAATTCTTAAAAAATGCACCGAATGAGATATATGTATTTAGCTACAAATAAATCTAAATCTAAGTATTAACCAAGTACATTTTAATGTTTTAGGAAAAAAATTAAAATGTACTTGGTTAATGCTTAGACTTAGATTTATGATTGTGGTTCTATTGCTTTTTGCTAGCTTTTTGTTATTATTATTATTATTTGTAGAAATTTAGTTCTAATTATGGATTATTAATTTAGATTTAATTAGTTTAAATTGTTTAATTTGATCATTACCTAGCTGACTCCTGTCTAGATTTTTATTTCGTTTTTATGTACAAATTGTTTAGTTAGTTATATTACCCTGTAAATCTAAGGTTAAGTGGAATATAGCCTATGGCTAGACTTCGCCTTTTATTTAATAAAGTCCTATTATTATTATTATTATTAAGGTAATAAAAATTATAATTTAAATAGCAATTTTAATAAAATGTTTTTTTTGGGTCGTTCTTGTCATTGGTATTTTGGGTGCATGTCTCAAGAATGAGCTTTACAACATTAAAGATTTGGGATCGGACTACTAATTGTAATTCCTAATACAAAAAATAGAGAACCAAAAGAGTTTAAAATCACAGGAGATTTTTATAATATTGTAAAGGAATATTGGGCTCTGAGACCTTGTGATGTTCCTTTTGATAATTTTTTTATTAATTTCCAAAAAAAAAAAAAATGTACACGACAAGTAATTGGAATTAACAAACTGGGGAATATGCCTAAATAAATTGCCACATTTCTGAATTTAGAAAATCCACAAGAATAAACAGGTCACTTTTTCCGCCGTGCCTCAGCGACTACGTTGGTAAAGTCAGGTGCGGATTACAGCATTAAAAAGGCATGCAAGCTGGAAACCTTCTCAAGGCTGCATTGAAAATTCTTTGCAAAATCGACTAAATGTAGCAAATCAATTAGTTTCTTCAATTACTGGGTCTAATTCGTCAGTAGATTTTCCCTCAATTTCCAATTCTTCCTGCTTCACTACTGTTGAATCTGTTAAGTCTACAAACCAATCTGTTTTGAAAAATATTACGGACAATATTTTCATTGCACCAATTTTTAATTTTACTAATTGCTCAAACACTATAAATATTAATATTAATTCAGTGTAATATAATTGTTGTGGTAGCTCAGCGGTTTATGGATAATAAGAGTAATACAAATTAAAAAGTATGGGTATCGGTTCTCGAAGGGGCGGCAATCTCGTCGAGGATGGTGGCGGCTCCTGGGACTCGGAGCGTCGTAGGGGATGACGGCGGCGGTGTATGTGACACAGGGGACCTGGACAGTGCGACCCTGGAGATGACGACGTCAGCGATGCGGCATAGGGGACCTGGACAGTGTGACCCTGGAGATGACGACGTCGAAGCGGCGCAGGAGACCGTAAAACAGTGCAGCCCTGGTGATGATCTCGAAGAGGCGCAGGGGGGCGTAAAACAGTACAGCCCTGGTGATGATCTCGAAGCGGCGCAGGGGACCGTAAAACAGTGCAGCCCTGGTGATGATCTCGAAGTAGCGCAGGGGACCGTAAAACAGTGCAGCCCTGGTGATCACCAGAAGGGGACCGAGACAGTGCAGCCCTTAAGGTGGAGATGGTGGAGTTCCATCTGCCTGAAAAGTGGCCACGCTGGCCTTTTTATAGGCAGAGTTGAGTTGCGTGGGAGTACCTGCGTAGTGACGCAGCTCAGGCGGGGTGCGTTCCAGTGGAGGTGAGCATGCTGCCGAGGACAGCGCCCTCGAGAGGGTACTAGCGGAGCGCTTTGGAAGCTCTGCTACATTGTTTAAATAAATAACTTGTTCTGCTCGGATTTAATTGTTTTTTATTTATACTTTCTGGTCGTGGAGAAAATACAGTCATGTATTGCAACATGAAAGGCCGAAACTATGTATTTTCTAATGAAAATAGATTCTTATCGAAAAACATGATTAGGCAGGTAGTAATTTTAAACCGAAAGTATGTGGGCAAATCCACAGTTGTAAATATTATCGGCCCCTGTCACGTGCTGCAAACCCGGTCCCAGATCAGTTGATTCAAATGAAAAGAATTATCTGTTACTCTTTTCATGCACTCTAGAGATGGCTCCAAAAATGCGTTACTCTTAATTACTTTATTACTAGTTTTACTGATGTCGTATAATCTTACAGAATTTGAAATACTTACACACTTCCTGTTTGAAACATGAAATGAAGTTGAAATTGTAGAAAACCAATCAATTTTATATTTTTTATCAATGGCACTGCTTGAACTACTCTCCGTTTATAAAAAAAAATAAAAAAAAATTTGTTTAAAGTAATCTATGAACGGGGGTGAAAGAAACCGAACCTTGATAATTTTACTAACTGTAAAAACCACATGGATTAGGGTTGTTTTCACATTCAGATCATTCTTGGAGTTAAACTGCGTAATGTACGCATTTATGATATTGAATTTAAATAGTTTGTGCGCACATTTGACGCATCTTTAATACAATGCAGCAACATGAAAATAAAAGACCGCGGGACGTGCAAAAGTACCACGATGAACGTAAATTCAACTGCTTCGATAATAAGTTCCAAGTAATTAATTATCGTTTTATTCTTTATTTGAAATGTTTTTAAATTATAATCCAAATTTTGAAAATTTCATATTATAAAAGTTGATTTTAAAATGACCTGAGATTCGAAGAAGAGCTGACCTGTTTATGCAGATTTCTAAATCATTTAAGTAAGTAGCTACTTCACCAAAATAGTTATAAAAGACTAGTATTTAAAAATATTTGTCAGCACCCGTTCAGTGTTAGTCGTGTCGTTCACTAGTTCAAATCGTGACTTTGTAGTATCCAAGAAATTTGTGGTGTTCTTCATCCATCTTAATTTCAAACTTGAAATGGAGAAAATCGTATCCCAAAAAGGTGGCATATTAGTACTTTTCGATGGGTATCAGTACAGAAAAGCAAAAGTCAATGGCGATTCGAGTACTTCCTGGAGATGTGTTCTAAGGAATTGCAGAGGAAGTATTAAGGAACTTGGTGATTTAATTGACATTGTTACGGAACACAATCACTCATTAAGTCCGGAACAAGGCGAAATTAAAAAAAAAACATTTCTCATATGAAGTAAAAAGTGAAAGAAATAGTAGAAAAACCAAAACAAATAATTGTAAATTCTACTGCCGGAATGATGTTGGATGCGGCAATCTTCCATCGTGTGAAGCTTCTGAAGGTATGACTGAACTGAGCAGGAAAGATTCACATGCAATTACATTTAGTAATCCAAGAACTGTAGAAGAATTCCGGATAGTGTAACTAAAATATCGCGAAACGAGGATTTTCTACTTTGGGATTCTGGCTGCGATGACAAGACACGAATGTTCATGTTTGCTACCAATGAAAATGTTCCATCTTTAAAGCAAAGCAGTCACTGGTTCGTCTACTAGAGTGCTTAAAAGACTGTTAAAAATTGCACCGGATTTAAATCCTTTAGTGTGATGTGTGACTATGAGAAGGCTTGTCAAAATGCAGTATCCATTGTATTTCCGTCAACAAACGTGTTGGGCTGTTTATTTCGTCTTGCATAGTGTTTATGGAGAAAAGTGCAAGAGTTTAACTTAGCTGCACAAAGCGATAAAAAATGTCGTAATGTAAAAATGCTAGCTTTAAGTTTTGTACCTTAGACTGATGTCATTACAATATTCGAAGAATTATGCAACATCTTCGGTGCGAAGATATTATTGATTATTGGGAAGATAATTTTATTGGACGGTTTAGAAGAAACAGGCGTAGTACATCTAAGTTCGCCATAGATGTGTGAAATGTACATCAACGCGTCATCCAGGATCTTCCTCGAACAAATAATTCTGTGGAAGTTTGGCACCGAGCTATTCAACAATCGATTCGATCCTTCACTATTTAAGTTCGTCATGTATTTTTTGAAAGAACAAGATAAAGTGGAAATAGATATCGAGCGTTTTAAAAAAGTAAATCGAAGACCACAAGACTCTAAAGCAAAATATGTACAGCTAAGGCGTAGGCTTAAGCAGTTGGTGCAAACATACAACGTGTCCCTTGATTATCTATAAAATATTGGGTTACACTTAACTTTGTAATTGTTATTATATGGTTATCTACATTTATAATAAAATTACATTGTATTGTTGGCTTGTTTTTTCAGTGTGTTCTACAATATTTTATCCAATATTCTTTAAATAAAAAAAAACTATATTATATAACTAATATCTTTTTTTTGTTTGCAAGTTTTCCAAGTGATAATTATTTATTCAATAAAATCTTGATTTGACAGCTCTAAGTAGCATTCGTTGCTTATGTTTTATAATATTAGGTATACCATTTGAATTATAAATTATCTTTTTGTAAGAATTACTTATTTACTAAATAATGTTCTATATTTTTCTAAAAACGGTGAATAGTCGGCAGTTGTACTTTGTGAAATAAAAATTAATAATAATTTCTTTTTCTATCTACAAAAATTTCATACCGGGCTAATTTGACGGGTCTGTTTTGTTGGGAGCTATTTTGTCACGGAGCAATTTTGTCGGGAGCTATACAGTCGATGAGCTATTTTGTCGGGGCCTTTTTGACGAGGCTATTTTATCGGGGCTATTTTGACGAGTCACGTACAATCTGCAGTTACGTTAACACTAATGTTTAGATATTAATATTATTTTTAATTTTGTTGATAACACATGCTTATATTACGGACCTTGACATAGAGTTTATTATAATCGTCATTGTTTAAGATAATTTTGACAATATATTTTTATATAAAGCGTCTAATGTTTAAAAATCAAATTAAATTGTAGTGCACTTTACACATAATGGTTTTCTTTGCGGCATTATTAGTTTCACTCATAGTGATTTGTTCTATTATATGGTTTGTTGTGCTACTAAACAAAAATAGAGAGTATTTTAAAAAAATCGCAGGACCACCTCCCGTTCCTTTCTTTGGTAATGTTTTTGAAGTTTCGTCCACAACAGGTAATATTTACCTGGCAAAAATTTTTGCTATGGCTATTAATGTTTGTTAAAGACCTATTAGATGTGACATTAAAATTTGTACGAGAATATGGAGGACTGTTCAAAATTTGCATGGGACCAATACGTAAAGTAATAGTGGTTTCTGACTACAAATTTTTGGAAGCAGTTTTGAGTAGCACGAAAATTCTAAACAAATCTTATGAATATAATAACCTAAGGCACTGGCTTGGAACTGGTTTGCTTACAAGTGACGGTAAACAGCTTTCTGAATTTGTAGACTTGTTTACTTTGAGATTAATGTAGGTCCCAAATGGAAAAAACGTCGAAGAGTCTTGACACCAGCTTTTCATTTTCAAATTTTAGAGCAATTTATCGATGTTTTCGAATCAAATGGAAATAAATTGATTAAAAAATTACGTAAAAAAATAGGAGAAAGGGGTGTTGATATTTACCCGTTTGTAACATTGTGTACATTAGATATCATTTGTGGTGAGTAAATTTACATCATGTGGCGGCTTCAGAACTGAATTAAATACTCTGATCTTTTTTAAGAAAGTGCAATGGGGACGTCAATAAATGCACAGTTTGATGATAATTCAGAATATGTTAGAAGTGTGAAAGCTATGTGCAAAATTATAATTGAACGCTTATTTAATATATTGCAATTGACAGATATTACATTTCCACTTACACAAAATTATTACATTCAAAAAAAGTCTTTAAATATATTACACACTCATACTAATAATGTCATAACAAGAAGACGCGAAGAATTACTTAACAAGAAAAAAACTAGTGCTCCGGTAAATGAACATGTCGTCAATGGTGTTGGTGATTATGAGATTTCTACATATAAAAATAAAAAGGCGTTTTTAGACTTACTTTTGGAAGCTACAGTAGATGGAAGACCTTTGACACAAGAAGAAATACGAGAGGAAGTTGATACATTTATGTTTGAGGTAGGTGTTTACTGACTTCCTAATACCAGCTGCTTACTTGACAGGCGTAAAATACAGTAAAGTAATGTTAATTAAGATATTAGAATATAACCAACGAGTAGATAACTATAGGTATTTTGAAATAATAAATTTACTATTTCATACATTTAACTATGTACTGTTAAATACTCACCATCATCATTATAAAATATGTTTCTGATTTTAGGGTCATGATACTACAGCGTCTGCAATTAGCTTTGCATTGTATTGTTTGGCAAATAATGCTGATGCACAGGTACGTACCCAAATATAGTGTAAGCGGATTATTTATGTGGGTACAGCACGCAACAGCATTTAAATTATAAATTATTTTAGAAAAAAGCATATGAAGAACAATTAACATTATTCGGTGAAAATAAAAGTCCTCATATGTCGTATGCAGCTTTGCAAAGTATGAAATATTTGGAAATGGTTATTAAAGAAACTTTGAGATTGTACCCATCGGTACCTTTCTATAGCAGAGAAACAGATGAAGAAGTTGAGATCAGTACAAAAATCGACGTTGGTGTATAATTTATATATAAATTTTAAAATAAATTTTAGATGGTATTTCCATACCAAAAGGAGTTCCAATTATAATTTTTGCTTATGGGATTCACAGAGATCCAACACACTTTAAGGATCCAGAGAAGTTTAATCCAAGCAGATTTGAAGAAATTGATGGCAAGCATCCTTATTCCTACATTCCTTTCAGTGCAGGTCCAAGAAACTGTATTGGTTTGTACCTTCGCAACAAATTTTTTTAAATTCTATATTTATAACTTTGTAGGACAAAAATTTGCAATGCTGGAAATGAAAAGTACAATTTCAAAAATTCTTCGGCATTTTGAATTGCAACCAGCATCGCCAGAATGTCGGCCACAGTTAGCAGCGGAGGCAGTTTTAAAGTCTACAAATGGAATTAAAATTAGTCTGTGTTTAAGGCAGTAATTTTAGTGTATCATACATTTTTATAATTGTTATACCGCAAGATCGAAAATGAAATTAGTCAAAGTTGACCGTGCACGATAAGCGGTTTGTTGTAATTTAAATTTTTTTACTAAATGTCAAATTGACATTTTAAAATTAGAATTATGACACCTACTTTTAAAATACATAAAAATGAATCAAAATCGCCGTTTTCCAATTTTGTCCCATTTCTGAAGTAAGATTCTAACAAAAAAGCTTTAATTTCCTTTGATAACATTGCAAATTGCTTTTGTCAACCTTTTGTCGACGTGAAGTTTAATAAAAAATTATTTTAAACTAAGACAAACCATCTCTCTGAATATTCATAAATTTTACAATAATATAAAGCTAAATTTTATAAACAATTGTATGAAAACTAGAAGAAGAAATGAAGTGGAGAATAAAACAACTGTTCTTTAAATGATTAAACACTTAAGGCTACATCGGAGGGACCGCAAAATACGGGCGCAAACGGACATACCGCCGTGTCACTTTTTAAACTTATTATTGAACTTGAAGAACAGCCTGAGGTGGCAATTAGTAGAAAATAGAATATTCTAACGCGCGCAGTAGAGAATTTAAAGAAAAAAATAATTTCCTCCAAAATAATTAAAATAATAAAAGCAGAACTGTTCACTACTGCAGTAAAAGTACTTGAAATAATGCTTTAAGTATTTTTTACCTAGTTTTACATTTAGGTACTTAGTACTTGATACTTGGGGTATTTGTAAAATGTACTTGAGTTTAGTACTTGATCTTGCCAAGTACTTTACTTCAAGTATTTCACCTAGTATTTTAAATACTTTTCATATCTCGACGTACTGAACTATGAAAGTAGATACTTCCAATACTTTAGTCTCTAGTTTACGAAGTTTTCATATCTCAAAACACGTAAAGTCTGTTAAATACTTGAAATTATTAATTCAATTATTTGTTTAGATGTATCTTTACAGTAAAATGGTGTTTGTTTCCTGTGAGGTTATATTTTGACCTGTGATTGTGGATTTCTTATCCACAATACGACGTATATTTCTTAGGTACTTGTAATATGTATAAAGTTGCGCTAGAAATATATGAATTTTATGGACTGATCTGGAACGTAACTTTGCGGGTAGTTTACAGCATGGACGAATGAAAATTGTATATTCTTTCCTCCATGGTTTGCAGTACCCCAAAGTGGATCGGGTACGTTGCCGTACTTCCTAATGTGCTGTGTCGGATTTGAAAATATTTGAGAAATGATTCAGCACTCGTTCAGAAAGATCTTTTTCTTTCATTAGTTTATTAACCCCGCCGTGTATCTCTCAGTAACAAGCCTAATCAGGACGGAGAACTCGGCAGGGGATTAACTCTTTTGCAATAGCAATAGCTGTTGACAAGTACGGACCTTCACATTCTTCCTCCTAGAATTTAAACACAATTTTTATATTGGTATTTTGCAGTTTAATTTTCTTTATCACGTTAGACACTTGTATATTATCAATTTTTCTTTTTTTGTTTATACATTTTTCAGGCATCTAAACTTAGTTTGCTATTACTACTTATATTTTTCACATTACACTTTTTTCAAATAATTTGATAAATTTCATGTATTATTTCAACAACATTTTAAAAATATGTGACTACAGAAAGACAATGATTTTAAAAATCATACTAATTAGTGTCATTTACCTTTTTCATGCAGATTTTATTTATTATCATACAACAACTTTACGTATTACAGTGCATTTCTTATTACATAAACCCAACGTTGTTCCCCCTAGCTACGACCTTGTCGAGGGGTTATGAAATATCGAGAAAATATGAAAGTACCAAATTGCCGGAACTCCATCACTGTACGTTATCCTCGATAAGAAAAACAACAAATTTTTATGTTTATACATCGGAAGAATGTCACGTAGAAATGAGTTTGATTTGAATGAGTTCGTCCTCTCAAAACAGAGAATCAAAATTATTAAGTAGTAAGCTACAAACGACAAAATGTTCTGAATATCATTATAATAATTCTTATTAAATAAAGACGTTTGTATTTTTACAATTTCGGGAAAATGGGCTGACTCGTTCTTAATTTGATCAATAAAAAATATGAATGCTGAGGTGAATCACAAGTAAAAATTCATCATATTTTGCACATTTTGGGTAGAATTTATTTGGCAAGATTTTGAGATGACGTCATCAATTGTTTGAAGGGAATAGACAGATTTATTTTGAATAACAATTTACCATGGTTACAGTGACTTTAAAACGGCTGCAAGATTTCAAAGCATTCATTTTTGCAATTCTTGATTTATTTAATAAAATAAATTGACTGATTTATTAATTTTTTTGAGTCACCCTGTATAAGCAGATCCAAAAAATCTGAAGAATGATAAATCACAAGTACATATCATCATATTTTGTAGATTTTAGATAGGATTTACTTCGGCAAAATTTTGAGATGACGTAATAAATTTTTTGGGGTTGATGAACAGATATATTTTGATTGGAATCTTGGAGATGTTTTAAAGTTACCATGCTTAGGATAACTTTAAAACATTTCCAAGATTTCAAAGCATTCGGTGTTATAGTTCCTGATTAAATCAATAAAATAAATTCAAGCATTCATTATATTTTGAGTCACCCTATATAAGCAGATCCAAAAAATCTGAAGATTGATAAATCACAAGTACATATCATCATATTTTGTAGATTTTACATAGGATTTATTCGTCAAAATTTTGAGCTGACGTCATCAATTTTTTGGAGGCGATAAATAAATGTATTTTGATTAAAAATTTATCATGTTCAACATAACTTTACAACATCTGCAAGATTTCAAAGCATTCAAAGTGTTGTTTTATAATTTTGAAATTTTTTCAAAAAATCTGGATATTTCGGATACAAACTCAATATAGAGTTATAAGCTGCAGGTCCTAAAACCTATTTACTATGTACAATTTTGAAGTAACGTCATCACAATATTGATGGGGATGATTAGACAAATTTTGGTTAGCGTTTTACCATCTACAAGACATTCCTAATATAAATACAAAATTTGACAACAATCGGCTCACTACGTTCGGAGATTATGTGTCTAATAAAAATCCGGCAAAGCAGACAGACGGAAACGGTAGATCTATTTCTTCGTACTGTGGGTGTCATGAAAGGTCGAGAAAATGTAAAAGTCGAGAGTCGGCCGATGGATTCGCTTAAAAGATAATATATACTTAGTATACAAAAGTACTTGACATCAAAGAAAGCAAAAGTGACTTATGGAATTGCAATATTATCCTGGACTGGAGGAGACTCTACATTCAGCACGCCGACCAAAACTGTCTGGTTTGGAGGAACTCCAAAAGAGATTGCGTTCTGTGAATAGTTACTTCAGAAAAACGAGGAAGATCCACATTTTTATTTCCAAAATTTCTTTCGCTTACGCTCGAGAAGTAAAAAACATTTAATATTTTTATTAATTTCAACATAAATTCGAATATTACATAAGCATAGACACTAACTCTGATATTTAATAAATTAATATCAGCTTTATTAATTTCGTTGATAACACACCATTATATTGTGGGCCTTGACCTACAGTTTATGGTAATCGTCATTGTTTGGGATAATTTTGACAATATATTTTTATATAAAGCTGCTACTGTTTAAAAATCAAATCAGATTAAAGTACACCTCACATAATGGTTTCCTTTGGGGCATTATTAGTTTCACTCCTAGTGATTTGTTGTATTATATGGTTTATTGTGCTAATAAACAAAAATAAAGGGTATTTTAAAAAAATCGCAGGACCACCGCCCGTTCCTTTCTTTGGTAATGTTTTTGAAATTTCATCCACAGCAGGTAATATTTACGTGGCGAATAATTTTTCCTATGACTTTTATTGGTTGTTTGCAGATGTGTTGAATGTTTTACTAAAATATACAAGAATATATGGAGGAGTGTTCAAAATTTGCCTAGGCCCAATACGTAAATTGCTAATAATTTCGGATTACAAATTTTTGGAGGTAGTTTTGGGTAGCACGAAAATTCTGAACAAATCGGATGAATATGATTATCTGAAGCATTGGCTAGGAACAGGCTTACTTACAAGTGACGGTAAACAGATTATAACGATTTTGTAGAATTCTTTATTTTGAGATAAATGTAGGTCCAAAGTGGAAAAAACATCGAAGGGTCTTGACACCAGCTTTTCATTTTCAAATTTTAGAGCAATTTATCGACGTTTTCGAATCAAATGGAAATAAATTAATTAAAAAATTACGTAACAAAATAGGTGAAAATAGTGTCGATATTTACCCATTTGTGACGTTGTGTACATTAGATATAATTTGTGGTAAGTAAATTTGCGCCATGACGTGGCTTAAGAATTTAATTAAGTAATTTGATCTTTTTTGAGAAAGTGCAATGGGGACGTCAGTAAATGCACAGTTTGATGATAATTCAGAATATGTTAGAAGTGTGAAAGCTATGTGCAAAATTGTAATGGAACGCTCATTCCACTTACTGCAATTGACGGATGTTACATTTCCACTTACACAAAATTATTACATTCAAAAAAAGGCTTTAAATGTATTACACACTCATACTAATAATGTGATAAGAAGAAGACGCGAAGAATTACTTAGCAAGAAAAAAAATAGTGCTCCGGTTAATGAACATATCGTCAATGGTGTTGACGATTATGAGATTACAACATACAAAAACAAAAAGGCATTTTTAGACCTACTTTTGGAAGCCACAGTAGATGGAAGACCACTTACACAAGAAGAAATACGAGAGGAAGTTGATACATTTATGTTTGAGGTACGTGTTTACTGATATCCTAATACCAGTTGCTTACTTAACCGCTGTTGTTTTTTATTTTAGGGTCATGATACTACAGCGTCTGCAATTAGCTTTGCATTGTATTGTTTGGCAAATAATGCTGATGTACAGGTACGTACCCAAATATAGTCTTAGCGGATTATTTATGTGGGTACAGCACGCCACAGCATTTAAATTATAAATTATTTTAGAAAAAAGCATATGAAGAACAATTAACATTATTCGGTGAACATAAAAGTCCTCATATATCGTATGCAGCTTTGCAAAGTATGAAATATTTGGAAATGGTTATTAAAGAAACTTTGAGACTGTACCCATCGGTACCTTTCTATGGCAGAGAAACAGACGAAGAAATTGAGCTCAGTATGAAAATTTAGATTTGTGTATAATTCATATATATTATATTTTTAAATATATTTTAGATGGTATTTCTATACCAAAAGGAGTTCCAATTATGATTTTTGCCTTTGGAATTCAGAGAGATCCAACACACTTTAAGGATCCAGAGAAGTTTAATCCAAGCAGATTTGAAGAAATTGATGGCAAGCATCCTTATTCCTACATTCCTTTCAGTGCAGGTCCAAGAAACTGTATTGGTTTGTACCTTTCGTAACAAACTTTTTAAATTCTATATTTATAACTTTATAGGACAAAAATTTGCAATGCTGGAAATGAAAAGTACGATTTCCAAAATTCTTCGGCATTTTGAATTGCAACCAGCATCGCCTGAATTTCAACCACAGCTAGCAGCAGAAGCAGTTTTAAAGTCTGCAAATGGAGTTAAAATTAGTCTGTGTCTAAGGCAGTGATTTTATTGTATCGTGTATTTTTATATCCATAAATTTAACGATAATGTAGAACCAATATTTTATAATCACTGATATGAAAACAAACAAAAAAAAATGAAAGGGAGAATAAAACAGTTGCGTGTTTAAGCAGAAAGCATTTAAGTGTTGAAAACTATAATTATATAAGACATTGATATGATATAAGATGATGCAGGTGCTCCAACGATTTATTGGCGGAAGACTGCGCATTAGGGCTTATTTAAGGTTCTAGTTTAATTTAAATAACATTTATTTTACTATTGTAAATTTCGGAGATGACGTCACTTCATTGTGGTGGGGATGATCACATAAATTTTGGTTAGCGCTAGCGTTTTACCATTTACATGAAATTCTTAACATACATACAAAAAAAATCGGTCCAGTAGTTTCGGAGATTATTTGTTTAGTAAACATAATAAAAATAGACACAGACAGACAGACAGACAGAAAGGGAAGACCACTTTTTCGTACTCGAGGGGTCATGAAACGTCGAGAAAACATGAAAGTTGCCATTCATCCAATGAACCTTATTATTAATAGCTTACGCTCTGGAAGCAAAAATATGTCAAAATGTAACATAAAACCATGAAATCGAATTCTGCAAAATTAAGACTTGACTGCATAAAAATCGCTAAATTCTACTTTTACGGTGTCCCAGTTAATAATCCGCAGCCTTATATCTTGAGAAAGGATAGAGATATTGAAATTTTGTAAATATCTTGAGAAAAGTCTTAGCTCTGGTAACTTGTTTTTTTTTTCTCTCGTAAAGTATTCAAATTTGTAAAAATACATAGGGTGTCCTTAAAAAATGCTAATATGGTGTGTAAACCATTAAATAAAACAACTTGTCTACTTTTCAACAATCGACGGTGAAAATAAAAGGATTCGTTGGATCACTAATAAATAGTATTTAACATTACTAGCATGGTAAAAGGGTTTTTTACTGGCGGACAGAAGGATATGACTGGCGAGCCGCCGGCGAGCTACTCACCTTCTGGAGCCAGTAAAAACCCGTTACCTTGCGTGTATTGTTCAATATTTTATTTATTTCTTACTTGTAAATAACTATTATAAACTATTAAAAACTTTAGAAGGTCCAATATTTGAAGAAACATCGTATGAGCTTTAGACGTATTGGAAACGCACGTCAGCATGGTACTTATCATAGCAATTATTGCGTTGTCTAGTTCTGTCATTTAGATTTTTCGATTTATCGTTTTCGATGTATTGAAATGAGTGTGGCGGAAGGTATATTACTGAGGAAACAGCAATTGTGAGTAAAAATTTGCCTGAATCAATTTTGGCTGTCATTTTAACTTATAATAGTTTAAAATGTTTAAAATACCTGGCTGTATGAGCACGAGCAGGGCTGTAAAAATTTGACTGGCTAGCCTGTAAAAATTTTACTATAGCCTATAGCCTATAGCTATAGCCAGTTAAGTGACATTTTCATGTTGAATACAGTGACTTGGTAAATTGATGTTTACAAGTGAGTAACAAATAAAAGCTGTTACATCATTTTAATTCCCTGGAAGGCAATTCATTTAAAATGTGCGACAAAATTGTGCTACTTGTACCTTCTAATAGCTTATTTTGCGAGAAAACTGGATTTTTCAGAGGCTCGGTAGTGCCGTTCGCAAAGTATAAAAACAACAGTTATGCAGAAAGAGAGACAGAAAGTTGATTTAAGTTATAAATTAAAGAATTAGTGAAAGTGTTCTCATTTTATCTTTACACTGTTCCACCTTCTGGCTATTTCCAATAATTTAAATTATAGCTTTTTTGTAGAATGTTTTTGTATCAAATTTTGAAAAACCCCGAAATTCTAAAAATGTTCTTTAAATGTTCAACACTAAAGTGTCGTTCAAAATTTCTGACAATTTTTTTAGCAGAACGTACCCACAATCAAGACAGTTATCAACTGAACGGGTTTTAAAAACAATCTACCCTGTTACAATAGTACATTATAGAAGATGTGGTGTGTGACATTTTATATAGACTTGCAATATTTTACACCTGCAAAAATACATAAATAATATTTTTAAACTTAATTCATTTGGTTGCTAAATAAATTGTAATTGTCGCACATCGACAAAAAAATTATCTTGGATGTTATTAAAATTAATATTATATTATTAAAAATAACAACTACGCATAATTTAATATTTACAAGTGACAGTGACTCGTTCTTACATAATGTTTTGATATCTCTTTGTCGCAGTTTTTACCGATAATAATACATTCGCACTCAATATATAATATTTTCGATTAAATTCAGCTTGGTGGGGATTTTTTATCTCATAAAATACACACGTAGTTATATTTTGGGTTTATCACTAAAATTTCAGTTTCTTATGCGTGGCTTATCTACAACAGATTACTGGTGTTAACTCTATTTGTATTAAAATGGTAACAATAGTGGAAGTGTTTATTTCCGTAATAATAGGAAGCTTGTTAATACTGTATTATCGTCTGAAGAACAAAAACAATGATTTTTACAAAAATTTTCCTGGACCTCCTCCATTGCCAATATTTGGCAATACGTTGGAATTTAAATCTACAACAGGTAAGCAATAAGGTAAATAATTGTTTCCACATAAAACGCCACACTTAAAAATGTTGATATGTATGTTCCGAAAATAGTTAGCTTTAGCAGAAACACCGAATCAGAGCATGCTCGTTGTCGTATTGAACGTTGAACATTACGTTATGAAAATTCTTATCTGCACCTGATACCTACCCAAGCAAGACAAACTGTAAGAGTAATACAACAAAATCTAACAAGGTTATATTGTTGTTATTTTAATGTTTTGCAACAAAGTAATAACAAAGTTTGCAAGACGTTACAAAACAATTTTGTATTACAGTTATATAACATCAGCATAATAATAATGTTATATAACAACTACTTATATAAGAAAATGAGAACAGAATTTGTTGCTGTGATATAACAGTGTTATAGTGTATTAAACTACCCCCTACGTTTTTCAGATTTTCTGTATCCAGGGCCTTCACTTGTGTCAAATTTAAAAAATCATAGGGTGTAATATTGTTCCTCTTGTATAATACAATAACAGTTAACGCTCTTATATAGTAGCCACAAATTATGTTTATCATTTTTTTATATAATGTTCTGATTGTTACGATTTTTTTCTTGATGAATTGACCTTTGTTTTCAATAAATGTTTGACAGCTCATATCTTTTAGATACTTGGAAACAAGCTAAAGTCTGCGCGATTAATAATTCTGATGATGCTGCAAATATTCGAAATTACAGGTCAATCTTGTAATAGCATTTTGTGGTATAAGTGAATAAAAGTGAATTTTATCCAACGAAAAAACAGTTTAGCACACGAGGCGAAGCTGGGCTTTCAACTGATAAAAGATGATATGATTAATAAAATGGTAATCATAATAGCCTTTGTCATGACATCAAAAAAACGTTGTAAACAATAACTGCGATTTTTTTTCGATCAAAATGCAAAACAAAGATCCGCAAGAAATTCGTGATGCTGTTGAAGCTGCTGTACTGAATTTGTTGCCTCCTACTAGTAAATTAAATTTGTTTATGTACTTCTCTCCATAGGAAGCAAATATTCTAATTCTCGCCCTAGAGAGCAAATGTTCTATTTCTCTCCCTAGAGAGCAAATGTTCTATTTCTCTCCTGATTTTACGGTCTAAATTTCTATACGGTGTAATTAAAAGTTAAAACTGAACATTATTTTAAATGTGCTTCTATGGCAATAGCAATAACAACAAGAATGTAATTAAGACAATATCAGCTTCATCAATCTACACTATTTATCATATTTTAGTTTTATTGCCAGGACTCATTGCTATGTAGTATTTAAAAAAAATGCATTGATTTTAAAATTTCGTTGGAAGGCTATTTATGTAGAGGTTTTTTATATTTTTCCTGCCTTCCGTATGAGAATGTTTCGGAGTTTAGTAGCTTCAGATCTGTATTTGAAATCGTGTTTTGCTGACTTAAATTGAGGTTAGTTTGTTTTGGTAGATAGTAGAGATAGGTAGATCACAAATATTAAAAGATAAGGTACACGATTACCTCAGCAATGCTGAAAAGTCTTCTTTTGATGCATCTTTAGAATTTTATGCGGACGGAGACATTGTTTTAGTTTCTTTTTAATGTTTACACTTTATTTATTAGCGATTCTAAAGTATTAAGTTCTGCTGCTGGTTTTAGTTTTATTTATTATTTATTATTTTAATCGATATTTTTGAAGTTGTTTTATAATTATTGTTAATAATTAGTTTTTTTTTAGAGATTCTAGATATTTTTATGAAGCACACTAAAAATTACGGAGGAATAGTCAAATTCGACACTGGTCCATTAGACAAATCATTATTGGTTTCTGATTATGACTTTCTTGAATGTGTCCTGAGTTCCACGCGGCTTCTCAACAAGAGTGATGATTATAACTTTTTAGAACCGTGGTTAGGCACGGGTTTATTAACTAGTAAAGGTGTGTTGAATAATACGTTACTTATAAGAAAAATATATATTTAAATTATCCTCTTTCGTCAGGACCCAAATGGAGAAAACATAGACGAATCTTAACCCCCGCATTTCATTTTAAAATTTTGGAACAGTTTATAGATGTGTTTGAATCGGGTAGCGAGAAGCTGGTTACAAAATTAGAAAAGGAAGTTGGTAAAAGTAGTGTTGATATTTATCCACTTGTTACTCTTTGTACTCTGGATATAATTTGTGGTATATATAAATTAGAATGTCATAACACATTTTCATAACTAAATTTCTAGAAACCGCAATGGGAACTAAGATCAATGCTCAACAGAATGATGAATCCGATTATGTGCGAAGCGTCAAAGCAATGTGCAGAATAATTATTGAGAAATCATTTTCGTTAATTCAGATGTGTAAACTTACTTATCCATTAAGCCAAAATTATTACACAGAAAAAGATTCCATTAATATTTTGCACCGCCACACAAACAGTGTGATAACTAGCAGACGTAACGAACTAAAAGATCAATCTAATGATGAAAAAGACGAAGATAACATTGGAATTAAACGTAAACTAGCCTTTCTTGATTTGTTACTAGGCGCTACAGTTGACGGAAGACCACTTACTCAAGAAGAGATAAGGGAGGAAGTCGATACATTCATGTTTGAGGTAATTACTCTTTATATTTTAGCTATAAAATTTACTAGTTATATTTATTGTTGTGTTAGGGCCATGATACGACGGCTTCGGCAATAAGTTTTTCACTGTTTTGTTTAGCAAATCATCCTGAAGTTCAAGTAAATATGGTTTTAGTATTTTTTCATCATGTAAATTTAAAAATGATATTTATTTTAGTCCAAAGTTTTGAACGAACAAATAGATTTGTTTGGAGAAAACTTACATGTTTCTCCAACTCACGCAGACTTGCAGGGTATGAGATATTTGGAACAGGTAATTAAAGAAGCTATGAGAATGTACACAACTGTACCTTTCTATGGAAGAAAAACAAATGAACCTGTTGAATATAGTACGCATATACAAATTTCTATATTTCAGATTATACTTACTTTCTGTTCTAGAGGGCATAATAATTCCCAAAGATGTAACCATAAATATATTTGCTTACGGGATTCATAGGAACCCTATGTATTTTCCAGAGCCTGAAAAATTTAATCCAAGCCGATTTGACGATATCGATGGTAAAAAACCATACGCGTTCATACCGTTCAGCGCGGGACCTAGGAACTGCATTGGCAAGTTAGACAAAATTGACAATGAATAGTTAATAAAAGTTATGATGAAATTCCAGGTCAGAAGTTTGCTATGCTTGAAATGAAGAGTACAATCTCCAAAATCATAAGAAAATTTGAGTTAAAACCAGCAACACCGACTCACGTTTTAAAATTGGCCGCTGAAACAGTCTTAAAATCGGCCAACGGAATTAAAATTAGTGTAGCATTAAGAAAATAAATTTGAAAATATTAAATAATTTGAATGATAATAATGCGACAGATTAGAGGAGTCCGTAAAATATATATATCAACCAAACAATAATAATAATAGTTATTTACGTGGCAAGCTTAGTAAATTAGCCTTTACGGGCGAGCCGGAATGTTTGCAGGGCGAGCGACGTAGGAGCGAGCCCTGTAATCCGGTGAGCCCAGTAAAGGCTAGTTGCAAGCGAGCCGCGTACAACGTTTTACTTTCTCTTGCTGAAAATCCTGAAAATGAACAACTTTGGCATCTCTAGAAATTTTACTTGAAATTACAGTCATAGAAATTGTAGTTATTTTTCATAGTTTGCTCCGGTAACTATGGAAAATTGAATTGTTTGAAAATAACGGGACTGTCAATTTGTAAATTCGATTAATAATTTAAATAGTTTAATTTTGTTTCTGAGCTCTGTTAATTGTGGAATTCGATGAAGATGAAGAGTTTGAAGGTGATTTTAACGTTAGTATTAGCACAGTATTAGTGAGATTAAGAAAAAGACCGACGCAGCGAATGTTTGTTTGATTCCAGTGCTGTCATGATAACGTTTTACAGGCAAGGTGCCTGTAAAGCTGCCACGGTAACGCTTTACAGGCAGGGTGCGTGTAAAGGCTAATTTACCGAGTTAGTCCAGACGACAGTAAACGAGCTTTAACAAGACAAGAGGAAGTAAATTAGTTTTATTGTCCAACTAGTACATGGATACCTAAACTATAGAGCAAACCAGTGGCGGCTCGTGACTATTTTGGTTGGGTCGGCCAGCAGTGAGTAACCCAAAGTTTTAAGACATAGAATACAAGAACCAGGGACCTCAAGTCAGTCATTATCTATAATTTGCTTCCTGTATGGTGTTAATTCATATAGTCCTAACAACTTGGTAAAACAAAATAAAAAATATTCTTCAAATAGGTATAAAGTAAAGCATATACTTATACAATATAAGCCATCTATAATAATAAAATAACGACAATAAACTCAAATAAAAATGAAAATAACATTCAAGTTATAAAGTAACACATTCTAACAAAAAATATAACATGAAACGTCAACAACTATTTATTAGTAAAAAACAAAATTAAAAAAGTAAATTAGAAATTTTTATAAACCAATTCAATGCGTCTTTGTTTTGTATTGGCAAAGTTGTCAATTACTTGATTATAGAACTTTTGATCTTCCGTTAAGTTTGTAAGCACTTCTTTTTCTATTGCTAAAACGAATAATTTGGATAATCGATTTTGACTAATGGAGTTTCTAGTAAAATTTGTAATTCGCTTTAAAGCTGAAAAACTGCGTTCAACATATGCTGATGTGGATGGTAGGTATATGATTAAAATTAAAGACAGAAATAATTTCGGAGGCTTCTACATTTTCGTAAGTAGCATCATCAGGAGCAGGGTTGAGAAATTAGGAAGATGGCAAAAGAGCACGGTAACTCAATATGTCAATCGTACCAGACGACCAGAGGCAAAACTCTTTTTCTGAAGTTTTTTTGAATTTATTGTCAACATCATATTCAAAAATTAAACAATATCAACAAAATAGTTTGTTTTTTGACTTGCTCCCCGTCAGCCATTTATAATTTTCATACCATGCTGTATTAATTATTAATTATTAATATGCTATTGCACCGGAGCTGACGTTATTATTGCTTCGTGCTTCGATTAAATGTTGCATGCGCGGCTCCGAACGGGTCATTTCTTTTATATCCCAGGAATTGATCATCGTATGTTAAAAGTCGAAAGTCATTATTTAATAGATGTGTAACAGCATCAAAATTTAAATCAGTTACTAATTCTCTTACTAACTGTTGTCATTGTTACTGAAATTAGAAACAAACCTAAACCAATTTCATCCACGTGAAGACTGCAGAAATTCACAATATACATACAGCGGCCGGCCGGTGCTGGTAGTGGGGAACCGCATGGAAAAGTGCACGGCAGAAGTGGAGTGATGAAACGTAATATTGTACGGTTTCATCGCTATTGCCTTCTAACTTATACAAACAGAAGGTGATAGCGCTATAACAACTTGATGTACTGCCAAAAGGCCGGCCGATTTTAGCAGACATTTGACCAATCACTGCTGCAGGCGCGTTAATCAGAGGGTATCAGACACGTATCAGTCTTCATAGCTATTTCTCTTTAATTCCGCTAAACAGAGAGCGATAGCAGATATGACATTATTCGACGTTTATTCTTGTAGTCGGCCGGCCTCAGCTGCTGCTCCTCGCAGTAAAAATATTTAAACTTCCCGGCACGATTTGTGCTTCCGAACGAAAGTGAATAAATTAGATAACGCTTTTTGTAATTAAAAAAATAATAACAACAGTAAAATCAGGTGATTTCAAAATAGCTTTAAATTATATTCTTGCGTTTAAAATAAAAATGAATATCGCAAATTGACAAGTTCGGTGACAGACTCGGCCTGGCCTAACTGGCCCCCCCTGACGAGCCGCCACTGGAGCAAACACACATAAGGTGTTGGTAAAATATAGAATAATTCAGGAATGGAATCTTTCAGCAATTCTGAAATTTCTTTTGCTGATGATAAATATCAGTGTTATGACATCATTAATATTTTTTAATAGAATGAAAAAAATTGGTCTGAAGTTGTTTAGGCAGAACGTGCCCCAGGGATGCTTCAACAAAGAACCATTACTTATTCTTAAAAAGATAAACATTTTTAATTTATATATACATACAATATACTTATGTAATGCAAACATTAACTTGACATTAGGTACTCCATTCTATGAGAATTTCAGAGAAATCAAATATGCATGGAATGAAAATGCTGTAAAATACGTTTTTGTTCAATACTGTTTTATTTTGAGATCATACAAAAAGACAATTTATCAGCTACTTTACAAACTGTGTTTTCTCTCAGAAACATTTAAAAATAAACTTTGAACCGTATTACGACTGGGTAGGAGAACAAGTATTACAGCAGGTAAAAGGTCTAACAGTATAGAACAGCAAAATCCATTAGCTTTATCTGATTGTCTTGTCACTAGGAATATATATAATGCATTCCCGTAACGTGACAGAGGCACTTTTCAAAGTAAAAGTTCTACGATTGTGATAAAAATTTCAATTTCTGTTAAATAATATTAATATACCGGTTATTATCGGAGTCTTTCTACCTGATTACAACTCTTGTTTCAAAGTTAATTGTTTTACTATCAAGTCGCCTTGCCTACTTTGAGTGATGTATTTAGATATAACTATATACAATATTATTAGATCTAAGTCAGTCTAGTAGAATCAAGAACTAACCGCTTGAATAACATAGTGATAATATTGCTTTATATAATTTAGGTATAATTATAAAAAAATAATCTCAGATTAATTCGACAGAATTTCCCTCACCCCTAAAGTGCAATTTTTAAAATTAAACATATAATTCAATTTTGCAAATTCTATTTTTTTATGAAAACCGTATAAGTTAAATTAAATATATGTATGTAATGTTAATTTAAATTTAAAGAAGCGTATTACGGGTATGTTTTAAACGAGTTGTTTCTCTACAAAATTTTATGATGACGTCATCAATATTTTTGTAGGGTGCAAAAGTGAGCTGTTTCTGATTTAACACCCTGTATTAGCAATTCTAAAAAATATGAATATAACGATAAATCACGAATACCTATAGACTCATCAAATTTTGCACATTTAGGATTTATTTAGCAAAATTTTGAGATGACATCATCAATTTTTTGGGGGTATTAACAGATATAGTTTGATTAAAAATTTACCATGTTTACGATAACTTTAAAACGTCTGCAAGATTTCAAAGCATTCGGTTTAATTTCATCAATAAAATAAACTACTCATTAATTAATTTTTTTGTCATCCTGCATAAGCAATAAAAAGTATGAATGCAGTAATAAATCACAAGTGGAGGCTCATCATGTTTTGCATATTTTCGATAAAATTTATTCGGCAAAATTTTGAGATAACGTCATCAGTTTTTTAAGAGGGAGAAAGAGATATATTTTGGCCAAAAATTAACTATGCTTACTACACGTTTACAACGTTTGCAAGCTTTCAAAGCATTCCGTTCCGCAGTTCCAGATTTAATCAATAAAATAAACTGATTCATTCATTAATTTTTATGAGTGACCTTGTTTAATCAATTCTAAAAGATATGAATGCAGTGTTAAATCACGCTCATGATATTTTGCCCATTTTAGGTTTTTCGCGCCAAAAATTTTTAGTTGACGTCATTAATTTTTGGTAGTCTACAAAACTTCAAGGTATTTGGTTTGAAAATTTCACACCTAAATTGCGAAATGTTGTTACAAACTTTTAATATTTTTTTTCAAAAATCTCTTGTAAAAGCTTAACACTGTTTCATAAACTACATGTGAAGGAGAAGAATTGTAGCAAATTTGTTTAAACAATTATTTACAAGTAGTTATACAGGGTGAGTATTATGATAACGGGACCCTGACCAAATTTCAACACAACACAAAATACATATCTCGTATGTAACTCTTTTTATATTTCATTTTTATAAAATGCTCAAACATGACAAACATTAACCTGGTAGTTAATTTTGACTTTCGCAATAATTCTATTTTTCAATTTTGAGCTCCGATAAGTTTTTAGTCTTCGCGATAAGATGAGGGTACACGAACCATGAAAAAGTCGATATGATTTTGATTTTTAGATAATGCGGAAAAATGCCACTGCAGCAGCAAATCTCTATGAAAGAAGATATCCCGATAGGCGAGATCCATCCGACCAAATTTTTAGCAAAATAGAGGACTTACTGCTACTGGTGTCGAAAATGAAATTCCTGTAATTGAAGCCGTAGGCAATGACCCGCATGTGAGCCAAAGATTTATAGCACGACAGATAGGGATATCTCATTCTTCTGTTTAAAAAATTTTAAGAGCGAATAAGTTCCACCCTTACCATGTGACATTAGTACAAGATCTAAAAGAAGAAGACAACTAGAGTTGGACAACAATTTTTTATTCAAAGTTTTCTTCAGCGATGAAGCAGGATTTGGCAATACCGGGGCTATTAATCGGCACAACTGTCACTATTACTCCCTAAATAACCCACACTGGATCAGAATAGCTCATTTTCAAAATGTTTATTCCATAAATGGGTGGGCTGGTATTATTGTAGACTGCAGATTTCGTAATTGGCCCATACTTCTTGGAAGGCAACTTAAAAGGAGACAGGTATCGACAATTTTTGGAAAATAATTTTCCGGTGTTATTAGAAAATGTTCCTCTCAACTTCCGACAACAGCTGTGGTTTCAACAGGATGGGGTACCACCTCATTATCACAGAGTCGTTAGGTACTACCTTGATGAGACATTTGCAAATAAGTGGATTGGCAGAGGCAGTGTAAATGTATGGCTCCCTCGTACTCCCGATTTAACACCTTTAGATTTCTTCCTCTGGGGGGTTGTAAAAGAAAAAGTTTACCAAAGTCCTATTCGTAATTGTGAAGATTTAAAAACCAGAATTAGAAATGCAGGTTCTGCAATATCTCCTGAAACACTTGCCCGCGTCCTGTTGTCTTGCTGAAATCGCATCGAATTGTGTGTTGCGCAGGAAGGAAGGCATTTTGAACAGTACTTACGCTAGTTAAATTTATTTAATTGTTCAATTTATTTATTACATTTCTTTGAATTAATATGTTGGTGTTTTTTTTTTAATATTTTATTTGTGAAATTTTGATTGACGTCTTTCAGAAACAGTGACAACTAGTAGGGAGAGTACCTACGTTGATCCTAAAAACGTATGTGTTTATTTTGGAATCTCGTAATAACTGATAGATGTATGTTGTGTTGCATTGAAAATTGGTCAGGGTCCCGTTATTATAATACTCACCCTGTATTTTCAGAAGTCACATCCTACTTCACAGCATCAACATAGTTTCATCCAAGTTGTTCCACAATCACGAATTGACGACGGGTTACAAAGGGACGTTAAAATATCTTTACTAGAGCATTTAATAAGTTGGACCATGGTGTTTCAATTAAAAAGCATTATTCGCCTTAGCTTCACACCTAACTTGGTTCACTTGTTTGCGTCGTGCATACGAAACAGGTAACAATGTGTTCATTCCTTTGGTCACAATTCTGGCTTTATATATATATACCTATGTTACATCGAGTGTTTCTTCTTTTCACTGTTTGTTGACGATATAAATAACTGTTGACTTGAATGTAAACTATTCACTTTATGCTGATGATGATGAAGTTAAAATATCCCAGACAATTGCTACAGCTGAAGAGTGCATTAAACTCCAGTTCAGACTTAATAAATTTACAAGATGGTGCGATCGGAATAAGCAAGTATTAAACAAGGACAAGTGTCATGTAATGTCATATTCTTTGTAGCGGAACATCATTCATTTTGACTATGCATTTTAGATGCAAAATATATTAACCAGACCCGAACATTGGTATTCTTTTTTATTGAAGACACAGTTAAACGGAAAGAATTTAATGAAAGCAGTAAATAATTCTGTGTTCAACTGCTAACACATTCTTTTTAAATAATCAAAAGGTCAAAAACTAAACACTCTTAAATGTTTCTAATACCGAAGGAATACCCCACAAAGTAGACAATATAACAAGTGGGCTGAAACAAAAACCGCTGCATAGAAAATGTTTCAAATACCCAGACGGAAGTCACATCAACAAGAAAATGTCATTGAATTGGCTCAAAAGTCAAGCTTGTATGCCGAACCAGAAGGGTTTGCTATTCAAGCCCAAGTAAACTTTTTTTTATTAAAGAACCAGCAACCCTGCATAACAAGGCTAGGGATTTTCTGTGATGACAACAGAATAATGGACGTTAATCTCCATGGTTATCCTCATAACGTCATACGTCATGTTGGTTTTCAAGTTTTCAGTGCTTGAAAAATAACTCCAATGGAAGGTACAAATAAAAGTATAGTAAACAATTATACTCGTGATTTTCATAAACTTTATCAGTTTACCGAAAATAATGTTGAATATATTTTAGAAGATAAGAACGAGATGAGATATGGTGCACAAAGTTCTCTGAACAGATAATGTAACTATTTATACGTTTTCTAAGTGATCCAGGATTTCAATAGAGAGGTGGAAATGAAGACGGGATCCATCGAATAACGACATCTAAGGCAATAACATAGGTTTTATATAATAAACATTGGGTTTTATTTTAATTCTTGACGGTGAAATTCACAATTGGTTGATTATGAGCATGTCTATTCCACATTCGCGGAACCAAGTGAGCGCATAAAACAAATGCAGGTCTGTAATGTTAAAGTCGATGTAAATGAGCGTGCTACCCTTATGTTTCAACCGAGTTTTTCCTTTAACAAATTTTGTGTCTACCAAATTGGGTTGGTTGGGGTGTAATACTAATAATAAGTGTTGCCTTTAATTTAATCAATAAAATAAATTGACTTCATTAATTTTTTTGAACCACCTCTTAAGAAAATCTAAAAAATTGGTCTAAAGAGTTTAGACAGTACTTCCCTCGCTGTCGGAAACTTGACGACTGCATGCCTATTGTCTTTTTTTTTTCTCATTACATTTTTGTAGTGGGAATTTAAAAAAAATTGCGATGACGTCATCAACATTTTTGCAAGGACACGTATATCAGTTGGGATAGATGTAGTGTAATACTAAGAATAAAATTATTATATTCTCAAATTTTCGGGAAAATGAATTGGGTCGTTTTGAATATTGATTTGTAATAATCAATAAAATAGCGAAACAATTTACTCACGTATACGTATCAGGGGCAACTGAAAATCGTGTATGTATAAACATTCTTAATTTAAGATGACAGGCGTAACAGCATACGTGAGAGTCAAACAGAGAAACTGTAAACAAAACGACCATCGGTTTTATTGCTTCGACTTCCGCTTATTATATAAAACATTGGATTTTATTTTAATTCTTGACGGTGAAATTCACAATTGGTTGATTATAAACATGTCTATTTCACATTCGCGGAACCAAGTGAACGCATAAAACAAATGCAGGTCTGTAATGTTAAAGTCGATGTAAATAAGCGTGCTACCCTTATGTTTCAACCGAGTTTTTCCTTTAACAAATTTTGTGTCTACCAAATTGGGTTGGTTGGGGTGTAATACTAATAATAAGTGTTGCCTTTAATTTAATCAATAAAATAAATTGACTTCATTAATTTTTTTGAACCACCTCTTAAGAAAATCTAAAAAATATGAATGGAATGGTAAATCACAAGTACAAACTCATCATATTTTTTGCATTTTAGATAGGATTTATTCAGCAAAATTTAAGGGTGACGTCATCAATTTTTTTAGGAGGGATGAACAAATACATTTTGAACAAAAGTTTACCATGCTTATAATAACTTTAAAATATTCCCAAGATTTCAAAGCATTCGGTTTTGTAATTCCTGATTAAATCGATAAAATAAATTCACGCCTTCATTAATTTTTTTGAGTCACCCTGCATATGCAAATATATCCAAAAATATGAATGGAATGATAAATCACAAGTACAGACTCATCATATTTTGTACATTTTAGATACGATTTATTCGGCAAACTTTTGAGCTGACGTCATCAGTTTTTTGTAGAAGATAACCAAATATATTTTGACTAAAAATTTATTATGCTCCTTATAACCTTAAAACATCTGCAAGATTTCAAAGCATTCGGTTTTGTAGTTCCTGATTAAATCAATAAAATAAATTTACGCATTCATTAATTTTTTTGAGTCACCCTGTATATGCAAATTGAAAAAATTTGAATGGAATGATAAATCACAAGAAGAGACTCACCATATTTTGTACATTTTAGATAGGATTTATTCAGCAAAATTTTGTGGTGACGTCATAAATTTTTTAGGGGGGACGACCAAACACGTTTTGATCAAAAATTTACCATGCTTATGATAATTTTAAAATATCTTCAAGATTTCGAAGCATTCGGTTTTGTAGTTCCTGAGTAAATCAGTAAAATAAATTTACGCTTTCATTTATTTTCTTGAATCACCCTGTATATGCAAATCCAAAAAATATGAATGGAGTGATAGATCACAAGTACAGACTGATCATATTTTGTACATTTTAGATATGATTTATTCGGCAAATTTTCGAGCTGACGTCATCAAGTTTTTGGAGGGGATAAGCAAATATATTTTGACTAAACATTTATTATGCTCTTTATACCCTTAAAACATCTGCAAGATGTCAGAGCATTCCGTTTTTTAGTTCCTGATTAAATCAATAAAATATATTTACGCATTCATTAATTTTTTTGAGTCACTCTGTATATGCAAATCCAAAAAATATGAATGGAGTGATAAATGACAAGTACAGGCTCATCATATTTTGTACATTTTAGATATGATTTATTCCACAAACTTTTGAGCTGACGTCATCAAGTTTTTGGAGGGGATAAGCAAATATTTTTTGACTAAAGATTTATGATGCTCTTTATAGCCTTAAAACATCTGCAACATTTCAAAGCATTCTGGTTAGCAGACTAAAAATTAAATTTCAAAATGTTGTTTTATAATTTTGATTTTTTTTCCAAAAATCTGGACGTTTCGGGTGAAAAGTCGATTCAGAGTTGTAAACTACATGTGTAGGACTATGTTATTTTATACAATTGAAAACCCATTTACAATGTACAATTTTGAAGTGACGTCATCGCATTAGTGGTGTGGATGATTAGACAAATTTTGGTTAGCGATTTACCATCTACATGATATTCTTAATATAAGTACAAAATTTCACAACAATCAGTCGAGTACTTTCGGAGATTATCTGTCTAATAAAAATCCGGGACGGCAGACGGACAGACGGACGGACAGACGGACGGACAGACGGACGGACAGACGGACGGACAGACGGACGGACAGACGGACGGACAGACGGACAGACAGACGGAAATGGGAGACCTATTTCTTCGTCTTCTAGGGGTCATGAAAGATCGAGAAAACGTAAAAGTAGAGAGTCGGCCGACGGACTCGATTACAATACTTCCTTTGCTTACGCTCGGGAAGTAAAAATATGAATGGAATGATAAATCACAAGTACAAACTCATCATATCTTTTGCATTTTAGATAGGATTTATTCAGCAAAATTTAAGGGTGACGTCATCAATTTTTTTCGGAGAGATGAACAAATACATTTTGAACAAAAGTTTACCATGCTTATAATAACTTTAAAATATTCCCAATATTTCAAAGCATTCGGTTTTGTAATTCCTGATTAAATCGATAAAATAAATTCACGTATTCATTAATTTTTTTGAGTCACCCTGCATATGCAAATCCAAAAATATGAATGGAATCATAAATCACAAGTACAGACTCATCATATTTTGTACATTTTAGATACGATTTATTCGGCAAACTTTTGAGCTGACGTCATCAGTTTTTTGTAGAAGATAGCAAATATATTTTGAGTAAAAATTTATTATGCCCTTTATAACCTTAAAACATCTGCAAGATTTCAAAGCATTCGGTTTTGTAGTTCCTGATTAAATCAATAAAATAAATTTACGCATTCATTAATTTTTTTGAGTCACCCTGTATATGCAAATCGAAAAAATTTGAATGGAATGATAAATCACAAGAGACTCACCATATTTTGTACATTTTAGATAGCATTTATTCAGCAAAATTTTGTGGTGACGTCATACATTTTTTAGGGGGGACGACCAAATACATTTTGATCAAAAATTTACCATGCTTATGATAATTTTAAAATATCTTCAAGATTTCGAAGCATTCGGTTTTGTAGTTCCTGAGTAAATCAGTAAAATAAATTTACGCTTTCATTTATTTTTTTGAATCACCCTGTATATGCAAATTCAAAAAATATTAATGGAGTGATAGATCACAAGTACAGACTGATCATATTTTGTACATTTTAGATATGATTTATTCGGCAAATTTTCGAGCTGACGTCATCAAGTTTTTGGAGGGGATAAGCAAATATATTTTGACTAAACATTTATTATGCTCTTTATAACCTTAAAACATCTGCAAGATGTCAGAGCATTCCGTTTTGTAGTTCCTGATTAAATCAATAAAATATATTTACGCATTCATTAATTTTTTGAGTCACTCTGTGTACGCAAATCCAAAAAATATGAATGGAGTGATAAATGACAAGTACAGACTCATCATATTTTGCACATTTTAGATATGATTTATTCGGCAAACTTTCGAGCTGACGTCATCAAATTTTTGGAGGGGATAAGCAAATATATTTTGACTAAACATTTATTATGCTCTTTATGACCTTAAAACATCTGCAAGATTTCAGAGCATTCGGTTTTGTAGTTCCTGAGTAAATCAGTAAAATAAATTTTGCGCATTCATTAATTTTTTTGAGTCACCCTGTATATGCAAATCCAAAAAATATGAATGGAGTGATATATCACAAGTACAGACGCATCATATTTTGTACATTTTAGATAGGATTTATTCGGCAAACTTTTGAGCTGACGTCATCAAGTTTTTGGAGGGGATAACCAAATATATTTTGACTAAAGATTTATGATGTTCTTTAGAGCCTTAAAACATCTGCAACATTTTAAAACATTCGGGTTAGCAGATTCAAAATTAAATTGCAAAATGTTGTTTTATGATTTTGATTTTTTTTCCAAAAATCTGGACGTTTCGGGTAAAAACTGAATTCGGAGTCGTAAACTACATGTGTAGGACTATGTTATTTTATACAATTTAAGACCCATTTACTATGTACAATTTTGAAGTGACGTCATCGCATTAATGGTGGGGATGATTAGACAAATTTTGGTTAGCGTTTTACGATCTACATGATATTCCTAATATAAATACAAAATTTCACAACAATCGGTCGAGTACTTTCGGAGATTATGTGTCTAATAAAAATCCGGGACGGCAGACGGACAGACGGACGGACAGACGGACGGACAGACGGACGGACAGACGGACGGACAGACGGACGGACAGACGGACGGACAGACGGACGGACAGACGGACGGACAGACGGACGGACAGACGGACGGACAGACGGACGGACAGACGGACGGACAGACGGACGGACAGACGGACGGACAGACGGACGGACAGACGGACGGACAGACGGACGGACAGACGGACAGACAGACGGAAATGGGAGACCTATTTCTTCGTATTCTAGGGGTCATGAAAGATCGAGAAAACGTAAAAGTAGAGAGTCGGCCGACGGACTCGATTACAATACTTCCTTTGCTTACGCTCGGGAAGTAATAAAATAAATAAACAAATAAATAAATAAATAAAGCACAAGTAAAACCTGGTCATATTTTGTACATTTTGGGTAGAATTTATTCGGCAAAATTTTGAGATAACGTCATCAATTTTTTGAGGGAATAAACAGATTTATTTTGATTAACAATTTACTATGATTGCAGTGACATTAAAACGTCTACAAGATTTTAAAGCATTGAGTTTTGCAATATAGACGATATAGACTGATCATATTTTGTCGTCATCAGTTTCTTAGGGAGGGACGAACAAATACATTTTGATCAAAATTATTTACCATGCTTATGATAACTTTAAAACATTTCCAAGGTTTCAAAGCATTCGGTTTTGAGTTCCTGATTAAATCAATAAAATAAATTCACTCGTTCATTAATTTTTTTGAGTCATCCTGTATAAACACATCCAAACAATATGAATGGAATAATAAATCTCAAGCACAAGTATAGATTCATCATATCTTGCACATTTTAGATAACATTTATTCGGCCAAATATTGAGCCGACGTCATAAATTTTTTGAAGGGGATAAGCAAATATATTTTGATTAAAAATTTATTATGCTTATCATAACTTTAAAACATCTATAAGATTTCAAACAATTCGGTTTTGTAGATTCAAAATTAAATTGCAAAATGTTGTTTTATAATTTTGATTTTTTTCCAAAAATCTGGACGTTTTGGGTAAAAACTCAACACAGAGTAATAAACTACATGTATTGTGTAGGACTATGTTATTTTATACCATTTATTTATCATTTACTATCAACACTTTTGAAGTGATGTCATCACATTATTAGTGGAGATGATTAGACAAATTTTGGTCAGCGTTTTACCATCTACATGATATTCCTAATATAAATACAAAATTTGACAACAATCGGTCCAGTACTTTCGAAAATTATCTGTCTAGTAAAAATGGGGACGGCAGACAGACGGAAACGGAAAACCTATTTCTTTGTACTCTAGGGGTCATGAAAGGTCGAGAAAACGTATTACATTTCTTACTTCGACACTTAGAAGAGGCATAAATTCTTTAAAATTTCTGTACCATCTTTTGCATAATAAGATCGACTGTAGGAGCCTAAAAAGGACACATATATTTCTATTTTATAAAAGTTACTCTTTGTCACACACTTTAAGATCGAGTCACATTAAGGTGTTCCAACCCGTCGCCATGGCATCATCTTTGTGCCATAATCTGAAATCGTGCCGTAATGTGACAGAGTATGAATGATTTCCGATGCGTCAAACGGGAATTATGAGGCCACTCAACCACAAAATAAATTAAAATTTAAAAGTTTTCATTTCTAGGTATTTATACCTTTTTCGCTTATTACAAGACCATGGGCGTGTAAGTAATATTACAGTTCTGATGTAACCCTAGAAACGACACATTATTGTAAACCTGACTTTCTATTTCTAAATTTCGTTATAAAAATGCAACATACGTATGGCGAAAAAGTAATTTCTCGGAAAAATTTTTTGCTCATAAATTTAATGAATTAATTAATACATATATTTATTTTTCTTTTTCACCGTTCCCTAAGTTATATTGGAGATTTTTTAACTTTCCTTCCCAAAAATATTATAGAGATGTGAAAATGGAGTATCGTCAATGTACACAAATACTTACATAGACAATTAATAAATGGTTTAAATAACTTGCTGCACCTAAGTAACTTCCATTTAATATGGGAAAAAAACTTCCGTATGTTCCAAATCTAAAATACAGGAATTCCATACTCTTTCTACGTTAATATGTTATATGTGGTATATGCATCAAATTTTACATTTTTTCAACCGTTCTCGAAAAAATCCATAAAATAAATGGATCCAAACATTTACTGAGATCATTGTAAGCAATTTAAAAAATGAAAGTCTACAACATAGTAAACCATCAAATATACAGAACGTGGCGAAAAATATACCTTTTCAGTAACACAGCTTATACTTAGTAGTATACTTTGCGCAGCGCTGTAAATCAGTAGGCTGCGCGGAACATTTGATAGACTCAATAATAATGCTTCGGATGCTTCAATTTGGGTTTCAGTGTACACTTGCTGTCTTTCTGAAGTGGTATTCAACCGACTAGTGGTGTTCAGATTCGCTTTTTTATAATTACCATTTTTGGAAATTTAAACAGCGCCACTGCCCACGTGCCAGCCAACCGCTTCGATACTAATTATCAGTTTAAAAGGTTTTATATCCAAAAACAAAAATAGTTGAATCCAACGAATTTGGGTTCGGGAAATTCAAATCTGAAAGCAGAAAAAATCCATCACGTCAGGTTTTTGAAATATTTATATGTTTATAAATTATTTTTTATTTACCCCGTATTTCTTTTCTTTGATACAACTCCTGTAATTTTTTATTTTTAAATATGAACATGTTCTTTGCGCAAATTTGAATCATTTTAAAACATCATTTACGTAAAGAAATGACATAAGTGTCAATTTTTCAAGTTACTAGATTGTCATCAATAAATATGATTTTTTCGCCTATTTTATTGAATTTTAGAATATCGGTTGCTTTTGATTTTTCTACCGGAACTGATAATAAAAATGTGAGTTTGGCATCACAAAGATCTTTTAAAATGATACAAATTTGCTCAAAGAACTACAGGTTTATAAAGAAGTTACAGGGGTTGTATCAAATAAAAGCAACACCCAGTATATATTATAAACACTAGCGTTTCTTTTGTTGACAGTACCTACTGTTATTTTTCCTTATAATAGACCAACAGTAATCCCCTAACATATTTTGTCCCAAAAATCTTGATACCTTTTTTTAAGCATATTTGAAATAGGTCTTCCCGCTTTAGGTGTTTTAATTTTACCACAAACGTAACAAAACTTACTTTGCACGATCTCGAAGACATTTTTTATGCGACAATGGTGCATTAACATGAATCAGTTTAACACTAACGTGAACGTAAAGCAAAGTTCATTATTTTGCATTCATGAAAAAGCTGACGTGATAAAGATTATCCGTTTTTGAACTTGTTATCAGTAAGTAATTTAAAAGTAAAAAATAATTGTTTTATTTTTGGATATGAAAACAAGTTTAAATTTGTAAACCAGTATTATTATTGACGTCGCGCGAAAACAAGTGTGTATGGGTCTGTGATTTGACTAGAAATTGTATAGGTTGCTGTGCTCTGAACACGGTGTGTGGGCAACTGTAATCTGCAACTTGTGGTCTCCTGCATTCCCATTCGTGTTGATGATTTGTCAGTGGCATTTATTTTGAGACGCAGTACTTGTTACAAACAAGCAGAAGATTTTTCTTAGTATTTTCATGTGAAATTTCAGGCAGAAAAGAAAATATAATTATAGTTAATTTTCTTGTTTGAAAATAAGGTTGACTTTGCTGAGAAAATGTAAGTGAAAATAAATAGTCTACTCACAACTTTTTCGAGGTTGGTTTTTCAAATGTTGCACGAAATTATCATAGATTAATATATATGTGACATACAGGCTGATTTTGCCCTTTTGACATTGGAATCCCCAACTACCAAAGGCAAGGACCAAATTTAAATAGTCGATGCCAATTAAAAACTTGTTTCACAAATAATTGTAATCCGTTTGACCTGAATTAAAGTGAAGAAAACAGTCCTAAGCAACTTTTAATATTCTGGTAAATCTGGTCTCAGTTTGTCGAAAGTAAAAGGCGCCGTTAAAAATGTTATGACATTTCTTCTAGTTAATTTTATTGCTAGTTTAGACAACACAAATTGAGGAGTCCTCAACATACTGTGTCTCAATCGTTATTTGATTTAAACTATGACGCTTCTTTATGTTCCCTGAAATTATGTTGGATCAATTAGAACAGAGTCGGTAGAAATTGTCACGACAAGGCAACAACGCTTGTCGAAAGGAAGTACTCGCTGTCATTTGGCTGTCTTGTTGGAAATTTAAAAAGTTTAGATATACGATACACAAATGGTTCAAAGCAAATTAATCAAATTATATTATTACATTGCCCGTACCTATAACAATACAACAATTTCTAGTCCTAGTCAGAAGATGGTTAGGTTATGTGTATGTTTGACAAGCATGCACGTACACTTTTGCGATGTTGCTATATTTCAATCTATAGCTGTCTTAACACTCTATACGAAATTTTCTACAGATATCGATTATCCGATTAATGACATCGTCGTTAAGCTCTGAAATCGACAATTTTAAGACTGATACAAGTCTATTTGATAATATAATTAGTCAAATAAGCCGTCAAAACTTTTTTTCATTCACCTTTTCACATTTTAGGATGTATTTCTTTTATACACTATTCTTATTTTGTAAATAGTAATTTACACAACTAGTTCGGGATCGCCTGCTTCCCGCATGAACGCTTGTTTGCGGCACGCCGAAGGGAGTGCCGCATTTGCGTGAATGCGGGAAGCAGGCTCACGAACGTGTTGTGTACAATATTTTTTGCAACGAATAAACCTTTAAACTGAAGAAATTAACTGTGAGTTATTTATAAACAATGGCGCCGTCAACACATCACAATGTTGACACTACGCGAGTATTTTAAGGTTACCATGGCAACGGGAAGTTAAAATGCACGTGTGCGGAAAGTTCGAACTCCCGCACCCTGGTGAATGCACGAAAGCCATCAAAAAAGATCATGAGTGCAAAAAATTATAAACGCTTGTGTGGTTTTTCACAATTTGTGCATTCAAAATAACATTCCTCCGCCTGAAGATTTGGGAGAAATTAATATTCGTGATAGTACCGAAATCGTCTAGATAATAATTCAGAAACTTATTTTAAAGGTTATTTGATGACGATGTGCATGGGCCTCAAGAAGAACAAGCCGAAGCACGCACACCAGTTGTCAAAAACTCTTCTGTCTTTTTTGTTGTAAAAGTTGGAGAAAACTTCCCAGACGTCAAACCTGGATTACTTTTCACAAATTTGACCAAGATGTCTTTCTGTATTTCCGTTATTTTCATTGTATTCAATAATTAAAAGTTTTTGCGCTCGAACTTCAAAAAAATTTGTCACTTGTCAATTATTCGCTTCTCGTTTGTTCGATACATTTTTAATTCCCACTCCGTTGCCACATATTTTGGTGAAATAACTCATTGGCTGAGATTTATCATCTCACAGGTTGTCACGAGTAGACACTTAGAGGTCTATTTTGTAACTCTCAACGATCTCGCTAGAGCATCGTTAGCTTACGATAATCGTTTCCATAACGATTTTGGTACCGATGGCGATTTTGTAACAACTATCGTCTCGTTAGATAGCGATCGCATCGTTAGAATGTCATCGTTCCGGAACGATAGGTTTCAGTTGACCGTTAAAAGTGTCAGAACACGTTAGAAAAATATTTATACAATGGAGAGGAACGTTTTGGTGCAAATATTGGTAGAAGTAGAGAGAAGGTAAGTGTAATTAATGTATTTTTGGATTAGGTTATTATATATTTTTTTTTACTGCAGGGACAGAATGAGAAATTTGTCTCGGTTTTTAAGAGATGTAAACGACCCCTTCTTCGTTCCAGAAGAATCCTTTAGGAAGACCTACCGACTGTCAAGGCAAGCGGCAAGGGATGTATTTCAAGAAATACTGCCGCGAATGGAACGAGGAAGGAGGGCAACAAGAACTCCGTCAGTTGTAAGATTTATGGTTTCCTTACATTTCTTTGCCCAAGGAAGTTACCAAAAATCTGTGGGCAAAGATCAACACTGCGCCGTCTCGCAAAGTGTAGTCAGCAAATCTCTGAAGGAGGTAACAAACCTTTTAGTGGAAATTGCTCCAAGATACATACAGTTTCCCAGAGATATGCAAGAGGCTGTCGCCGTGAAAGCGGGATTTTACGAAAAATTTGGGTTTCCCGGTATAGAGGGATGCATTGACGGAACTCATATTCTTATTTTTCCCCCTCCTGCAGAACATCCTGTTCATCCTGGCAGAGTGTATGTGAACAGAAAGAACAGTCATTCCATAAACTGTCAGCTAATATGCGACTCTAATTTGAAAATTTTAAATATCAATGCTCGTTTTCCCGGGTCAGTTCACGACAGTGCCGTTTGGATGATGAGTAATGTTAAGGAAATTATGAGAAACAACCATATGCAGGGCGATAGAACAACATGGCTTTTAGGAGATTCAGGGTATCCTTTAGCACCGTTTCTTTTGACCCCTATCATTGGAGCTGAAGATAATACACCAGAGGGCCGTTACAACAAAGCACATATTCGTGCGAGGAACTGTGTTGAACGTTGTATTGGTCTGCTGAAATCATATTTTAGGTGTTTGCTCAAAGACAGAGTTCTGCACTATTCACCAGAAGTTGCAGGGAAAATTATATACTCATGTGCTGTTTTACACAATATCTTACGGATAAGAAATATTGAAAATGACGAAATCAACATTGTCTATGACAATGAGAACTACAATAATGAAGAACTGGAATATGAAGAACACAATTTACTGCATGAAGGGCGCATCACAAGAAATAATTTAATACTACAACATTTTCAATAATATATTTATTTTTTTAAAACAAAATAATTAAACTATTAAACAGAATTGTCCAAAACATCAAAATTTACACTAGGATATTTTAATTTAAATTTCATTTCTTTTAATAACACTTCCCGCTTTTTTAACTCAACCAATTTTTTTAAGTTGTTATTAATTTCTTCTAAAGTTCCGTCATTTTTTTCCAGGACTGATTTTAGTGACGAACTCAACGTTTTATTTTTATATATTTTTTTTGGGACGGGTTTATCTTTGGATGTCGAAGGAATGACGTTGGGTGGGGCAGCAGGAGGTGTATCGTAGGCAGGTATGGGAAAAGTATCGGTTTCAATGGGATCACCGGGATCATCAAAGTCTACACTGTTCTCACTGCCATGACCTAGGACTTTATTAAAAAAATGTAATTAAATATTGAAAGAACGCTGTTGTAAAGGATACAGATACATAATACGATTACGACTCCAAAGTATTACTGCCCATTCACAATGGACATAAGGCATAACAAGTACATAAAGCTTACATAAATATATAAAGTTGAAACGATGGAAAACGTATACGCAAACGTATTCACAGTGGACGAACTTAATTCTTATGCTTATGAACGTTTTATGTAATCCTTGAGTGCGTACACAAAGTTGAAATAAGTTCAACTTTGTGCACAGATTATGTCAAAATTATGTTAAAATCTAGGGACTTTTCAATGCTGCTATTGAATTCCCTTTAACAGGTGGCACTTGGTACTTCACAGCCTATGCTTAGCCGGCAGTTATTCTGTTCTGCGTTTGCGCAGTTTAACAATTCTTACAGAGTTCACTCTGTCCACTGTGAACGTACATAAGCATAACCCAGACACAAACCAAAAACGTAAATTATGTTATGCTCTCGTTCTTATGCCTTATGTCAATTGTGAATGGGCAGTTAGAAGATAATGTTCTAAAAACTACTTAACCAATCAAAACACTATATGCACTATTATCTTTAGCTGAACTATACCAAAAAAATTTTTCCACATGAACTCGTGCCATATTTTTCACGAATAATGTGTCTTTGTTTTATTGTTCAACATTTTTCAAACAAATATTTCTTATACTTACATTGTGGTACACCTAATTCAGGTAACGAAACCAACCCCGCAACAACGACTTTCCCCGTAATACCTAGGAGTCGCTGCTCCAGGTCTGTTAAAGTACCTGCAGCAGCTTCTCCACCTCCAGTTCCTCTTTCATACAGTCGTAAATTCCTCGCCTTCTTCCTAACATTAAATTTCCAATCTGCAAATCTCTGGAACACAGTGAAATTTACTTGGGTACCAGACATACGTAACATTATAATTAGATTGCCCTATGTTATATTCTTGGTGTTGTACTAAAAAATACAGAGGTGATGGTTTATAGTGTAACAGTATTTATAAACATAAAACTTCTCAGTTCTCATAATTGACTGATAATGAGTAAACACTATGTTCACTTCATCTAAAACAAGGGTAGGTGTTGGTGTAAGCAGAATAATTGCTAAGTGTAGCATAAATTATAGTAAAGTACACATTTTTAAAAATAGTGTTTGGGTGATTAATTACACATACCTCTCTCCACTGCTTAACACTTTTCTGTGGTCCTCCCACAGAATTGAGTTTGGCCACCAACCCTTCCCAGATCTTTTCCAAAAGATCTGGCTTGTCTGCCACGAACTTTTGGGCCCTAAAATCGGCGTTACTCTCTAACTCGTGGACATAGAGCTCGTATTGCTGTTGGGTGATACGCTGGGCCCTTTTACGTTTGTCCATTGCTTCTGTGAACGTATTGTAAACTGAGTTTCGTGTTAGTGTGATTATTTTGATGTTTTTCTTTCATAATTATTGTTTACTTACATGCTATAAGTTATAACTTCACAAAATTTTACTAACTTTCAAAACAAATGTCACACAGAGAACAGCGTAATCCACAGCCTACACAAATTCAAATACTACCGATTCTAAAAACATTAGATTCATCGTTCCGCTAACGATTTCAAAGCTTTACGATTACGATAGTGTTTATAAAATTGGAAATTTTTACAATCTCGCTAAACTGATTTTACGATTGCTTCTAACGATTATCGTTTGGGAACGAGATCGTTCTGGAGCGATAAATTACAAAATAGACCCCTTATTCAAATTAGTGAAATTAAACACATGACTTTTGTCACCAGTGAGAAAACTCAGCGAAGTCAAGAGTAGGGTCCCTGGTCTTTTCTGGGAGTAAAGGGGTCTATTTTGTAATTTATCGCTCCGGAACGATCTCGTTCCCAAACGATAATCGTTAGAAGCAATCGTAAAATCAGTTTAGCGAGATTGTACAAATTTCCAATTTTATAAACACTATCGTAATCGTAAAGCTTTGAAATCGTTAGCGGAACGATGAATCTAATGTTTTTAGAATCGGTAGTATTTAAATTTGTGTAGCGTCTAGATTACGTTGTTCTCTGTTGTGACATATGACATTTGTTTTGCTACTGATTGAAGTTTGGACAAATTTTTGAACTTATAACATGTAAGTAAACAATAATTATAAAAGAAAAACATCAAAATAATCACACTAACACGAAATTAAGTTTACAATACGTTCACGGGAGCAATGGAAAAACGTAAAAGGGCCCAGCGTATTACCCAAGAGTAACATGAGTTGTATGTGGAGGAGTTAGAAGGTAATGTAGATTTTAGGGCCCAAAAGTTCGTAGCGGACAAGCCAGATCTTTTAGAAAAGATATGGGAAGGGTTGGTAGCAAAACTAAATTCTGTGGGAGGACCACAAAAGTGTTCAGCAGTTCAGAGAGGTATGTGTAATTAATGAATTTCCCGAACACTCTTTTTAAAAATGTGTACTTTACTATAATTTATCGTACAACTATTAGCAATTATTCTGCTTACATCAACACTTTGGTTATGACAAAGTGAACATCTTGTTTAGTCATGACCAATCAATTATGAGAACTGAGATGTTTAATCTTTATAAATACTGTTACACAATAAACCATAACCTCTGTGTTTTTTAGTACACCAAGAATATAACATAGGGCACTCTAATTACAATGTACTGCCTGGTAAGTAAACGTCACTGTGTGTTCCAGAGATTTGTAGATTGGAAATTCAATGTTTGAAAGAAGGCCAGAAATTTAAGACTATGTGAAAGAGGAACTGTTTAATAATTTCATTATGTTGTAAAAAAAATAATAAATACATTATTGAAAATGCTGTATTATTAAATTATTTCTTGTGATATGCCATTCATGTAGTAAATTGTGTTCTTCATATTCAAGTTCTTCATTATTATCGTTCTCCTTGTCATAGACAATATTGATCTCGTCATTTTCGATATTTCTTATGCGTAAGATTGTGTGAAACAGCACATGAGTATGTAATTTTTCCTGCAACTTCTGGTGAATAATACAGAACTCTGAGGCAGTATTTCTGGAAATGTGTCTCTCGCCGCTTCCCATTACAGTTGGTAGGTCTTCCTAAAGGTTTCTTCTCGAACGATCAAGGGGTGGTTTACATTTCTTAAGACCCGAGACAAATTTCTGATTCTGTCTCTGCAGTAAAAAAAATATATAATAAGTTATCAACCTAATCCAAACATACATTAATTACTTACATTTACCTTCTCTACCCATATTTGCACCAAAACGTTCCTCTTCATTGTATAAATACTTTTCTAACGTGTTCTGACACTTCTAACGGTGAGCTGAAACCTATCGTTCCGGAACGATGACATTCTAACGATACGATCGCTATGTAACGAGACGATAGATGTTACAAAATCGCTATCAGTCCCAAAATCGTTATGGGAACGATTATCGTAAGTTAACGATGCTCTAGCGAGATCGTTAAGAGTTACAAAATAGACCCCTTTAAGTGTCGTTAGAATCTTGCATGATTTTGCAATTTTTCGATAATTTTAGTTTGTTTAAAATAAACAAACACCGTCGCCAGAGTCACATACTACACACACACACCTGATATTGTACACTAAATTCTACGCATATAAAACTTTTATTTGGTCGCTGTCAATTCTGACGTTTCTCGAGTCTGAACTTTGAATCACCAATTTTTTCACAATTTTGGACTTGGGGTTGTCAAAATTGAATAAAATTTTGTATTACACTCGCGGTCTTAAGGCGCTCGCGGCATACGCCGCTCTCGCCTTAAACTGACCGCTCATTAAACATTCACTTTAACCGCTTGTATAATAAATAACTATTATAAAAATAATTGTGGTTGTACAGAATATCAGCTTTAAGTTCAAACAAAAAAAGTATTTATTTTTTTTACCCATTTGTTCTTTTTGCAGTAATAAACTGCAATCTGTTTTCAGAAACTACAATGGGAATCAGTATAAATGCCCAGGATGATAGTGGTTCAGAGTATGTAAAAAGTGTGAAAGAAATGTGCAGAATTATAATGGAGCGGTCACTTCAACCTTTGCAAATGCTGGATTTGACTTATATGCTAACTCGTAATTACCACATGGAGAAGAAAGCGATTCGTATTTTGCACGATCAAGCAAATAGTATCATAAACAAGCGATATCAAGAGTTACAGAAACACACTAAAGAGGACAATTCTGAAACCAAAAAAAAGAAAGCATTTCTAGACTTGCTATTAGAGGCTACCATTGATGGACAACCGTTAAGTAAGGTTGACATAAGAGAGGAAGTTGACACTTTTATGTTTGCGGTTTCTATTCCTATATACCTGTGTTATATGTATTAAACAAGTAAAACAATTCTAGGGCCACGATACTACAGCTTCCGCTATTAGCTTTACACTTTTCTGTCTTGCAAGTTACCCTGATGTACAGGTGAGATAATGAAATCATACTATATACATACCATATTATCTACTTTGTTTAGCAATCTGCATTTGAAGAACAACAACTAATATTTAAAGAAGATAGAAAGCCTAAGGTTACATACGCCCACCTACAAAGCATGAAGTATTTGGAACAAGTAATTAAGGAAACGTTACGACTTTATCCATCAGTTCCACTAATTAGTAGACAGCCGGACACAGATTTAGAATACGGTATTTAATTAATTAAATTAAATTTGAACTTCAACCTGCAGTGCCGCAACATGACTTACAGTTGATGGCGGAGTCAGTTCTCAAATCGAATAATGGTATCAAGATAAGTTTAAATAAAAGGGCAACATGTTAGAATTTTCTATCTAAATATTTCTAGTACGTGTTCTTGTAATTTTACATAAATAAGCCTGTGTTCTGAACTGATACGCTATTTAATATGTAGACTTTAGTTTTTAATCGTTCTTTCTAAATCCAAATTCGTCCGAGTATGAATTCCTTGTAGCTAGAAGAGATGGACGTTCACCAAAAATGTTGCCCATTCTAGTACTACTACTACCAATGAAGTTCGCAAACTTTTATTGTCCGTAGGGTGGTTGCTGAACAACTGGTGATTCGTGAGAAATTCTACCAGATTGTACAGATGCACCCTAGGTAGTGACAGGTAATATTTCGTCAACATATGGTCTGAAACTGCGAAAAGGGTGTTACTGTGGGCTCAGGTTCACAAAAAAAGGTGCCGAAAGCTTGTGTTTGTCGTTTTGCCAGCTTTTACATTCTTTTCGTTTCCTTGGTATCCTTTGATTCATCAAAGTTTTGCACTATCGTCTTTTCTGTTATATTCTTGTTCTCTTTATCATATAAATTATCTCCACACTTAATATGATGAACATTATGTGAAAATAAATTCAATGAGAGTTAGTTTTTGCATTCATTGAGTACATATTTATAAATTAAATAGAAAAAAATAAAAATATTTTTAAGGCCAGTCGTTACTTTTGGCACTTGTGTGGTACTCAGCACATTTCGAGAAAGTAATTATTGTATGTGTTTTGGTCAGAAGTTATTGAATGTATTGTTACGTTGAACGGTGAACAAAATCGGCGTGGGTTAAACTCAACAATTATTTTTTAGTAACTCGGATTTACACGACTAATTACAGAGCGCTTATCTACAAAATGATTCCGGCACAACGGGTTTTGTTAACTGAATTCAGCTCTCGTTGTTTGGACTACCTCGACTGACTCGTTCCTGAAGGTGGCCTCTATTTAAACTCATACTTCCTTCTAGATGTGCGATCGGGGTCTTTCTGGAATCCATCGCGACTTCCGCTCTAGCAAGGGTCGCTCGGCCGTCGATGAGTCACCCATAATCGATACACATACTAGGAAAACCCATAGGCGCCGTATCGGGCGACGTATGGGTTAATTTCGTAACACTGCCCCCTCCTTAATTCTCATCGTCCCGATCAGAAACGTCAACGGTGTCACTGTGGTACTTCATGAGGCGGCCTAAGTGAACAATCTTCATTTTCCTTTCGTTGATCCTCGACACGACAGTTCTTTCTTCGGTGGTTATAAAGCTATAGCAAATCTCCCGCCTGAAATCCTACTGAGTTGTCCCGAAGATCGTAACATGTCTTCATTCCATCACTCGCCACTCTATTTTTCGATCACTGGAAGGGGATTGCTACGTCTACTGCGGTTCTTCTAAAAGGCGAACCGACGTTGTGTGGTTGCATCGGTGGTTGATTCCAAAATGAGCACCAGAAATCCCATTGTGCATCTCTCGATTTACTTCCTTGGTTCTGGTGGCCGGAACCACCAACTGCATAGTAACATGCCTTCCATCCGGACTCTCCCAGGCTTCAGCAATCCGTTCTCGACATGCAAGGAGTCCCATTGAGACCATAATGCCTTGAAAGAAGGTGACTCATCTGATATTTCCGACCAGCCAGCTCGTTCTATCCCATCTTCTTTCTATTTGAGGAGCGACCCAATATCCTCGTCTTCCTTCTGGTTCTTTCTACACCGAGCTGTAGTCCATTTACCATCTTCTACAACTGCTTTCTTCCTGCGGTTGACCGTGCTTTCAGCTGCTCAACCTCGTCGCAGTGTTTGCAGTTCTGATAAACGATCAATCCTGCAGGCTTCGCTTTAATACAACGCTGATTCAGTTTGAACTCTTCATTTCTTCAAAGCGTAGGACTACCCTGGCAAAAACTTGCTTTAGATGTTCATCCCCAAATCGCAGTTCTAGAGCAGTAGTTAAGGCACTATATTTGTTTACATCTTCGTCAGACAGGGGTTGAAGTAAGTATCTCTAGGGCTGCTATAGCCTTCTGTTCTTCCTCTTAAAGATTCGCTGTCGCTGCTGCCTCAAACTGATTTTTGTATAATGACCACGGTGTTTGACCATCATAGGTGGGTGATTGCATTGTTCTGTGGGTCGTCATCACTCTAGCGAGCGCCGTTTGGCCGTCGATCACCCATCATCGACACACATACTGGAAAAACCCATAGGCGTCGTATCGGGGCGGCGTATGGGTTTATTTCGTAACAGTATATTAATTTTGGCTAATAAATGAAGTTGTTAAAAGTTATAAATAATGCTTTATTGTTCCTCTTTTTAACAATGGTGAATGTGGCAACTCTAGAAATAAGATAAGCATACTCACATATCTACGTTGTTATCAGCTTTGAAGTGCAATGTCTGGCGAATTATTAATAACTACCATTTAATCTAAATAACCACAGAAATTGTAAACAAGTTTATCTGACTAAAAAAAACATTTGAATGCGATTAACTGCAGTCATGTTGCCAAGTAGTCTCTTCTTACAGTATTATGTTTTAAACTACTTGCAAGTTAATTTCGTTAGCAAATTTCTCGGGAAATTTCAAAAAGGTTATTTGTTTAAGAAAAAACATTTTAAATGGGAGCATTTGCTATAAAGTTAACTGAAATAAGAATAGTTTGTTTTATTCACGAAATATGTTTATTAAAGGTTAAATTTTAAATTAGAGAAGTAGATGCAGTGTAATATTAAGAATAATGGTACTGAATCGTCGTGAGTCGTTCTTGAATTTCGATTTAATCAACAAAAGGAAACAATATAATCAGGTCCACCATGTATGGTAGCAGACTTTTTTACTTCCCGAGCGTAAGCAAAGGAATTATTGTAATCGAGTCCGTCGGCCGACTCTCTACTTTTACGTTTTCTCGATCTTTCATGACCCCTAGAAGACGAAGAAATAGGTCTCCCATTTCCGTCTGTCTGTCCGTCTGTCCGTCTGTCTGCCGTCCCGGATTTTTATTAGACAGATAATCTCCGAAAGTACTGGACCGATTGTTGCGAAATTTTGTACTTATATTAGGAATATCATGTAGATGGTAAAACGCTAACCAAAATTTGTCTAATCATCCCCACCATTAATGCGATGACGTCGCTTCAAAATTGTACTCGTACATAGTAAATGGGTTTTAAATTATATAAAATAACATAGTCCTACACATGTAGTTTACGACTCAGAATTGAGTTTTTACCCGAAACGTCAAAATTTTTGGAAAAAAAATCATAATTATAAAACAACATTTTGCAATTTAGTTTTGAATCTGCTAACCCGAATGTTTTGAAATGTTGCAAATGTTTTAAGGCTATAAAGAGCAACATAAATCTTTAGTCAAAATATATTTGGTTATCCCCTCCAAAAACTTGATGACGTCAGCTCAAAAGTTTGCCGAATAAATCCTATCTAATATGTACAAAATATGATGAGTCTGTACTTGTGATTTATCAATCCATTCATATTTGTTCGATTTCCATATACAGAGTGACTCAAAAAAATTAATGAATGCCTAAATTTATTTTACTGATTTACTCAGGAACTACAAAACCGAATGATTTGAAATCTTAAAGATGTTTTAAAATTATCATAAGCATGGTGAATTTTTCATCAAAATGTATTTGGTCGTCCCCCTAAAAAATTTATGACGTCACCACAAAATTTTGCTGAATAAATCGTATCTAAATTGTACAAAATATGTTGAGTCTGTACTTGTGATTTATCACTCCATTCATATTTTTTGGATTTGCATATAAAGGGTGACTCAAAAAAATTAATGAATGCGTAAATATATTTTATTGATTTACTCAGGAACTATAGAACCGAATGATTTGAAATCTTAAAGATGTTTTAAAATTATCATAAGCATGGTAAATTTTTCATCAAAATGTATTTGGTCGTCCCCCTAAAAAATTTATGACGTCACCACAAAATTTTGCTGAATAAATCGTATCTAAATTGTACAAAATATGTTGAGTCTGTACTTGTGATTTATCACTCCATTCATATTTTTTGGATTTGCATATAAAGGGTGACTCAAAAAAATTAATGAATGCGTAAATATATTTTATTGATTTACTCAGGAACTACAGAACCGAATGTTTTGAAATCTTGCAGATGTTTTAAGGTTATAAAGAGCATAATAAATTTTTAGTCAAAATATATTTGGTTATCTTCTCCAAACAACTGATGACGTCAGCTCAAAAGTTTGCCGGATAAATCCTATCTAGAATATACGAAATATGATGAGTCTGTACTTGTAATTTATCATTCCATTCATATTTTTTGAATTTGCATATACCGGATGACTCATAAAAATAATGAATGCGTAAATTTATTTTATTGGTTTACTCAGGAACTACAAAACCGAATGCTTTGAAATCTACTGTGAAAAAAAAAACATAATAGGCATGCAGTCGTCACGTTTCCGACAGCGAGGGAGGTCTAAACTCTTTAGACCAATTTTTATTGCTTCGACTTCTGCTTATTAAATAAAACATTGCATTTTATTTTGATTTTCGATGTTGTAATTCACATTTGGTTAATTACAACTTGTCTAGATCCCGGGGAGGCTCAGCATCTCCTAGCGTCTCCCTAGCTGCGGCCTTGTCTAGCGGTTATGAAATATCGAGAAAATATGAACCTACCAAATTGCCCGATGGACTCCATTACTGTCTAGGGAAGGCAAAAATTTCTTAAGGGGAGACTCAGTCTCGATTACTTTATTTACTATACTTCCTTAGTTTACGCTCAATTAGTAAAAATGGCCTCTCAGCAATAATAACAACTTGAAGTGTTTATGTCCATACATCGGAAGAATGTTACGTAGAAATAGTTTTTTTACTTCCCGAGCGTAAGCAAAGGAAGTATTGTAATCG